AGCAGATGGGTGTGGGCGTTTATGTATCCGCAGAAGGGCCGAAAAGATCAAATGCACAACAGGTCGAGTCAATTTGTACCAAGATATGGAAGAAAGGAGCGCGTGTCAGCGGACGATAACGCAATATAAATGCCCGTGCGAATCCACGGGCGTCTGGAATATTGTGCCAACATGGTGAATCCGCGGGAGTGAGAAAACGAGGGAAATTCGCGGATGCATTATTTTTGCGCTCGAAACGAGGAGCGCGTGGGTGTCCGGTAAATGTCATTATGTGTGCATGTGTGGGCCATTACCCGGGCAATTGACACGAATCACAATAAGTTGAAAATTGGAGCATCACCGGAGGAGGCGAATTCAATGTCAAGACCCAACGACAGTAATTCCGTGTGCACCGCCGATATGTGTGCATTTACATCCATATAGATGTACGCAATAAGTATTATAGGTCACAGGTGGTGCTACGACATGTAGTACGCCTGCAGGACTTTGTTTTTCACGTACACTGTACCGCCCTGCCAACTTTCATCCGGTACTACCAAAGATAATATTATTGAGTCAATGCGTATTATATGTCAATCGTTTGGAATATATCGTACATGGATATGTGTTTAAGTAGGGAAATAAATGGCCGAGTTTACCGGAAAGGGGCCAAAAAAAAAAAAAAAGAAGAAAAAGAAATACGATAAACAAGTGAGGCCTTGAAACTTGTACAAAACCAATTTAAATTTACAAAGCTATTTCGCGGACTTTGAAAATGGATCAAAGTTTATGCTTACGCTGCTCCAGTTAAAGAGCGCACATATATATGCCACAACACACGAGAGCGAGTTGGCCAAACTTCCAAACTTCGTTCCCACGTAGCATTACGTATAGAGGGGATAATTATAGTACTGGTTGATCGGCCCTCGATTGCAGTCTCTTTAATAATCAATAATCAAAAGACAAGATTAAAATGAGAAAAAAGAAGGAGAGATAAAAGTTTCGACCGCGGCCGTGCACGCGCGGATGTACATGGGGTATGTGTGTGTGTATAGAAAAGATTGACCCAATAGCACAGATAATAACATACACGCGAACAGTTGTGTATACCTACACGCGTTGTAAGAGGAATTGTATATATTACACCGGTGCCGGCACGTGCGGACATTCCCTCGTCTTTCTTCTTCTTTTTTTTTTTTTTCTGAAGAGATGAAAAAAAAGTCACGTGCTCCTCGAATCGTCGAGTTTTTGGTTCCTTCCCTGTTACGAGTGTATAAACTTAGAGCCATGTTGTTTCAAACAGCGTCACAACACACGCGCAAATGAGTTAGAAAATCCGGCGCGAAGCGACAAGTGTTCGTATATACTTGTGTATATATATACACTTGTAAAACCTGCCTCTGGCCGCGCGTGTCCTTCTCGGGACATTTAGAAATCGAGATCGCCGCGAGTGTTTTGTTCTCGGGGGCCAAGGCGCTGAGGAGATGATGTTTTCTCCGAAGGCCCGTGACTTATGATTTTTTTTTTTTTTTTTTCATTACATGTCAACTTATACGAATGTATATAAATTGCGCCTCAATATTAATCGCGTACCGAGTCGACGTGACAGTCGAAGGATCAACGTCTCCAGCTTTCGAAGATTACCGGCTTTTGACGCAAGACCTTGCCGATCGTGCCAACACACACTCTCACACACACTTTTCGTACTTGATGTAATTGACGTGAGATGTTTGTTTGCCTCGGAGAACAAAGGGTTCAATTATTTGTATTGTACCGTGTGACACCTGATTTCTTGGTAAAACGATGCCCCCCACGCCCCAGCCGTTATCCAATTAACGGTCGTCATCTATGAATCAGGATATGTATGTGGCGATAGCAAAAAAATCTTACAGCAACAAACTGTCACTCGCGCCAATAAACTGTAATTATTTGGTCACACCAAATTTATCCTTCCCTTTCTTTTTTCGCCAACGAAGTTGACCCATCCGATAACGATCACAGTTGCGCAAATCTGAAATTCCTCGAGTGTGTCCAAAACAACCTTTCCATCCGATACTTACTCGAGAGTGGGCAACAATATTTCGGTACCTACATCAAAGGCGTGCAGATCGGAAATCCAAATGCGCACCGATCGCGGGATCGTTAATTTTATTGGTGATGCAGGGGGCACCGGCATTATTGCTACACGCAGTTGATTTCCCCGTGGAATTTCACATAAATTGCGGACCCACGAGGGGAGGAAACATTATGTATATATAAGCGATGGCGAAACAGCTACAAAGCAATACACCTATACGTATAATTACATATTACGGGAATGAAAAAACTGAATATGCTCGTCTCGGAGCTATATGTATACGTGTACATGTATGCGTGTTGTGGAATATAATATTATAGCTATTTATGTGATTATACCCAGTGTGTGTTATGTATACATGATGGTCGAACTCGCTGAGATCGGCACGAATGAATCACGAACATTGAGAATTTGCACCGGTATACCCATACAGTGCGCGCGTTTACTCCATACAGACGGACGTGCTCGATCGCGCTCCACTTTCGCTTGAACCTTCGAGTTTTCAGGTGTTTGGGTACTGGAGTTGAGGGCAATTTGTAAAAGCGCAACTCAAACTTGGAAATATTTCAACTTTTTGCTCAACGATCGAAGGAATCAACGTGTCGATTTATCAGATAACTCGACAATCTGCGTTAATCCACGAGCAATTGAAATTTCCAGATGATGGATCGGCCGATTATTCGGCTTCGCGGAATAACGTTGAGCGTGAGCTCCATCGATCCCCCGGGCTTTTGTCTGCCAGAGTGAAAAGAAAAAAAAAAAAAAAAAAAGTAACAATGTATCTACACTCGTTAAAAAATTATGGGCTGGGAGACCGATGGCGGCAAGTGGAACTACATTAATTCGGCCGACACGGTCAAAGGCCACGTACCGGGACCATTTAAGTTCCCATTAGCCGCGAGATGCTCTAAACAAGCAGCTCCAATGTACTCGTGGATGCGATTAAGCGCTGCATCATCCACATGTACTTGATATACCCAAATGGTTAACTCGAAGAATCGGCAGCGACAAAGTATACGCGATGTCGATTTCCTTGTACTCTTTGAAGTTCGCCTTCGATTGACGCGATGCGCCGATCGTTCACGCCTGTCAGATACGGAGTTTCACGATCGCAAAAGCTTTCGTCGTCGAATTACGAGGAATCTCGCTCGATTTCGCCCTGATTTCGCGCACACGGTAATATACGACGCGCGCGCGTTTGAAAAAGAGGAAAAGAAACAAAGATCGAGGTTGACGATCGGCAAGTCGCGCTTTCGACAACCTCGACGATCAATAAAACTTTGCCGCACTTTAAAACTCGTTGAATTGATATTTGTCGTGTGCATTATGAAATACAATAAGGACGCGAGGGGCTGCCCACTAAGTTCTCTCACCGTAGATAACAAAAGATCAAATGGAAGAACTTGAGAGAATTTACAGAACGAAGAGTACAAATGAGAATGGAAGAGTACGTGCAAGAAAACTTGAGAACAAGAGAGAATGTACAAGAGAACTTGGGAGAACATAAGAGAACCTGAGAGTATTTATGAAATTAAGCGCGATCATCGAGTAAATTGATTGAGTGGTGGGGCTGAACAGAAACTATAGTTTCTCTCGCTTTACCATCACTGCGCTCCCATACTCTCCCTTGTTCTCTTTACTTACCTCAAGTCTTCTCTCCCGTTCGGGCAGCCCCTCAAAAGATCAATCATACGTGCCCACCGAGTCGTTTTTGCAATCGTTGATTGCTCGTGTATAATAATCGTACACGGAAAACCTAAGCTTCTCGATGGCGGGTGTGTAAAATCACCTGCTCTCGCGGACGTGACAAAACAACGAGCGTAACATAATACACGTTTTGTATCAAAGATGATTGCATCGATCGAGAAGGCGATAAATAACGAGCCGAAGGTGTACTGCATGGCTGCAGAAGTGGTGGCGGTACGGCAAACTCGTTTTCGCCCCGGTGAAGCGAACTCGAGGAAAACGAAGGCGCTCGAGTTGGAGGAAAAAGTGAAAAGTAGCTATCGATGGAAAATTTTTTAGGTATGCTCGGAAAGCCCATGTGTAAGTTGCACACGTACACACACCCTTTTCACAGCTGAGAGTCAAAGTAGATATAATATATACGTGCCAAACAGTTCTCTCTCTCTCTCTCTCACTTGCTTTCTCTTCAATCGATTGTGCATATATGTACACATCGGGTGTTTGCGTGTGCGGTTGAAAGGAAAGAATGTATGTATAAATATATGTATACATACACGTGCATCGCAACCCAAAAAATAAAAGGAGAGTCGAGCAGAGGACTATGTGCTGCTCGTGAAAAGAGAGTCGTCCGGCCAGTCATTTAATCTTGCCATCGTCAGAGAAAGAGAGAGACATACTTGTACCCGAGGAACTGGTTTTTTTACAGTGTCTTAAAATTTTTAATTACAGGTGCCATGTGTAATATATATATATTATTTACTACATACATGTCGGTGGGAACCTCTATACACGTGACTCCCATCTTTCAATGTAATGATAATATACAATATACGTCCACACGATACCATCATAGCAGGTATACACAATATGTACACCTATACGGAGGAAGAGATGACAAAAACGACTTTGGATAAATACATATGGTAGAAGTCAATTTTAGCAGCTATAAAAGCTCACGGTCCGGTCTTTTTGGGGCTGGTTACGTAGGCTTGTAAAGCTGACTCCGGACGTACACCCACTTGGATAAGAGTGACATACACGCGATGGAGTTCCCTCCACCTCTTTCTCCCGCACACGTGTGATTGTGTGGGCGTTTGGATACATTTGTAGAAATACATGACAAGATAGTGTACGGTTAACAGTATAAAAGTATACAGAGCTAAAGAAGAGGCAGAGGGAAGGTACTATAAGGTACGTTTGCGTACCTACATGTGTCATTTGTGCAAGTACGTGAGAACATGTGTATATACGTATAATATGTTACGTACAACCATGACTTGTATACCTCGGTGCCTCCTCTATATATTATCTCCCTCTCGCGATATCTCCGCAGTCTTCCTCCGCGTTTTCATTCCAACGCGCGCTCTCGCCGCGGACAGATCCACGTATACCACACATCACCGCACAAAACACGCCGTTCACGCGACCGCTGCTGCTAAAATATACACATGTGTATAGTGGCTTGCTAACTCTTTGCTTCGTGACTGTTAATCAGTATACTTATAACATGGATGTATGAGCGCGTGTGCCGGTCACTATACGTATTGTATTACTTTTTACTCGAGAATCGGAGCACAAAATCTGTCATACCGATCCGATCGCTGTGTTGATTTCCGTATTTTCGTTCCTTTTTCGTGCCAAAAAAAGAGTGGATGAAAACCATGTGTCTCGTTGACAAACCAAAATAACAAAGGTTACATTGTTGAAAAACAACGTGCTTGTGTGTGGGTGGGTGCTTAAGTGGATAATATACCTCACGTGTTGCCGATATTTGCAGGTCGTGATTGATCAATTGGAAACGGTAAATTTAGCTAGAGGTTCGGAGCTGGCCTGTCTGCGCGTACATGTATTTGTTTTTTTGTTTTTTTTTTTCTTTATCGGAGGTTGTACGGTAACGCGTGTAACGGAATCCCAAGTTGGGAACGTTATAAAATGCGTTTATTGTGATTTCGCGTCTCATACCGATTTCCTCGGACAAAAGTGTTGCATAACACGAGCGAGTGTTTGAAATTTGGGTCTCAAGTGTGAGCGGCTCGAGGCCGGAAATAATTATCCGTCTTGTGAAAAACGAGAACTAACCGATCGAGCCGTGTGCGCGCGAGTTTATACACATATACACACACAATTGTGAGCACAATACGTACGTACGTATATAATATTATACGTGCGAGTGCAAGTGGCGATGCAGAATTCCTTCGATGTGATCGATAGGTAGATCCCGAGAAGTTGATTAAATTCGCGCGGCTGCGCCATCCGATCGATGAGAAATATATGTGCATGAAAGTAGCCGGGCAACGGATAACTTGTTTATAACCGGCGCTATACGTACGGGCACGCGCGCCCGATTTTTCTTTTGTTTTCTACCTTGGAAATCATCTTTCCCCCCCCCCCCCGATTAATTTGATAAGGAATATTATATCAAGGGATTTGACAATACGTGTGAGTGTGATTTGCAATCGTTACCGATACGATCTAGCATGTCACGGGGATAAGATTCAAATTTGGAATCGATCGTTTTGATGCTTGCGTTAATTAAAATCGTTCCTTTTTTTTTTTACAATTCGTACAAACACAAAACAACAACAATAACGTCTTTCCGAGACGAGAATAGTTTGCCCTTCCGAGATATCGTACTATTTTTATACCTGTACCAGACGTGCGTCCGGCAAAAATAAATTTCTCACTCGCGTGTGCTATTTTTAATCAAGAACGACAGTATTGCGAGATACTCGTGCAAAGACAGAGTTATGTAATATGTATACACAGAAAACGTACACTCGTGAGATTTCTTTGTAAAACGATCGAGGTAGCGATCAAAGATGTTGGGGAGGAAATAAAAAGATCGGTAATATGCGCGACCGATGTTGTCAAATGTTGGAGCGCCCGTGCGGTATTACATCAAATTCCGTTCGCAAAAAAAAAAAAGAAAAACAAATGTAACGCGTTATCGTAACACTTAATTTTATGCTTGCCTTTTTTTTCACCCCGTGAGCGTTGCGTGCGTGGAAAAAAGTGATTATACGTAACTGTATACAGTTGCCGCAAACACGCGTCGAAAGGAAGAAGAAAAATTAAAATTTGTCTATCCCAACGAGACAAGAAAACGCTGAATTGGGATTTATCACGGTAGCAAAGTGAAATATCTCGTACTCGTGTTTTTTTTTTTTTTTTTTTTTTTTTTCAAATGCCCGTGATCCTTTACTCGCTGTATGTTGTGACAGTAAAGCAAATATACCTCTAAACTTCCGATAAAAGCCTAGGCTTATCTGAGCTCGTATGTAAATTGATAAGAATTTCAAACTAAAAATCGAGACTACGTTAACCGCGCCGATGGACTTTAGTGAAAAATCCAACGACTTTACGCGTTAAAATAATTTAGCTTTCAATACACACTGCCAACGCAAAATTTCCAGAAGAGAAGACAATCCACTGCAGCTACACAACAATCTCCCTCTCTCTCTCTCTGGCTCTTTTATCCTCACTTCCTCGATCATCGGCTTTTACGGGCGGTGTGGTGTACGTGTATACGCGTTAATTTCACGTTTGACTCGTTTTACAACCCCACCCCCCTACTCCCAACCGAGGCCGGTCGCACAAGTCTTTGTCCCGATTTTCAAAACTATTATCATTGAACGAAAAAAAAAAAAAAAATAAAAAAAAAATAAAAAATAAAAAAATCCTTCCCTCGATTTTCCATCTCTGAAAATGTAACCTACTTTCGTCGAAACACACCTGTCGCGACGTGTAACCGTGTGCAACTTTTTTTCTTTCGATTTTTCCGTAACAACTCGAGCAGAACGGCATTTTCCAAGAGTAGGCACTTGATTATCGAGCGCGACCGTAAATTTAATCATCCCCAGCTAGACTGTAATTTCACCCGCAGCCTCTAACTGCACAAACGTCCGAGACACAGAGAGAGAGAGAGAGAGAGACGGACCATCAGAGCCGTAAATAAGCTAATCGAGGGCGGACACTATATGTATATGTACGTATACGCGCCGACAATAATTACCTTATTACACCTCGCGCTGCTTTCCGTTCGTAAAAATTGATCAGCGCGCAGTCGTCCATAAATTATTACTTGCGCAGGCATTCGTTGCGCTCTCGCTTTCTCAAGTTTTTGCGGAACTATTTGACGTACGTAGGTATACTTTTTTTTTTTTTTTCCCACATTTGCCGATTTCACGCGATCAAGCTGCTCAAAAGTACTTGCCCAAGTTTCAAACACACGTGTCGCACGTATTATACAGAGATTGAGATAGAGAAATGGTAAAAAGATACAAGTACACCTCGACCTCGCTATTACGATGATTTGTTGTTTTTGTTTTCTTGTAACGAGTATTATTGTCATCGATGACGCTTAAAGTTTGTGCGCGCGGACGGGGGTACAGCACGTAACGTATCGATCGATTGATCACCAACGACAGCGGTAATATCGCTAATACCCAGCCGCGGATTTTCAAATCAATGAGGCTTTAAACCCGTACACAGAACATGTGATCGATTGGCAAGATCGGAAAGGTGACGAAACGAAGCGAAAATCTTTGTGACGGTACACCGCAGTCACCGGCAAGAAGGATGAGAACGAGCGGCTGTTAGCGAGTGTGTACACCCGCGTTACAGAGTCTCGAAGCAGTTGGAAGCCGAAAAACCGAGGGGAGGAGAGAAAAAGGGGATAAAATGGACGTGCCGGTGGTTACGACGACGCCAACCTCCTCGGACGTGAGTCCTGCGACGATTCTCCTGGTATCGAAGATCGGCTCGATGTTCGTCCTGGGATTAGGTTCCCTGCTCCTCGGCACGCTGCCTCTGATGATCGGACGCTGCCGGGCGAAAAAGTGCGAGAAGAGCATCAGCAGGCGCGCCATCGGCAGCAGCGTGTCCAGCGCCTCGACTACCCTCACCACCGGCTCTATCGTCACCGCGAGCAGCGGCTCGTCCGCGCAACCGGCTGATTCCTCGCAAGTAATACGCCGAGATCAACACAACCATCCCATTATTTGGTTGTTGCGCGCCAAGTTGTCGGGGGGGGGGGGACGTGATCGAGTTTTTAATCAAGGGATAACGTCATTCTCACGCGCTTGTTGCATAATGTTAACGTATAGTCGTTGGTAAATTGCAAGCTCTTGAATTTTGAAGTATTGTTTTCCTATTATTGCTCACCACGTACGAAACTGTGTGTGGCGAGGTATAGTATAGAGGATTATTCGATTTGGTCGACTTGCCTGTACCTCGTGTTACATACTTATAATTATCCGCGAGACAGGTATACACATACATAATTATTATACTGTAGCGATCAGGGAAAATTTTTGTTGTTTCCCATATCTTGGCTCGATGAAATATCGGTGTTTCGATAAAACCACGAAAACAACATTCGTAGGTTTTCGCACGACCATTGTTGTTACGAGGATAAGCTATTACTGCTACTAAGGACAATGAAAAAAAAAAAAAAACAATCCAATTACATTTAGAAAGTCGCGTACGACAGCCGTGCGCGTGTATGAGCAATGAATCAAAAGACGTTTGGATTGAAAAAAAAAAAAAAAACAATCCAATTACATTTAGAAAGTCGCGTACGACAGCCGTGCGCGTGTATGAGCAATGAATCAAAAGACGTTTGGATTCATAAAAATAAAAATAAAAACCCGACAACTCGGCGCGATCCAACCGAGCGACGCTGCAAAGTCCAAAGAAAAGAAAAAAGAAAAAACAAAATTGTCAGGGCCTGTTGACGTCCCTGCTGCTGTGCTTCGGCGGGGGAGTCCTGCTCTTCACGACCTTCCTCCACTTGGCACCGGAGGTCCGCGAGAGCGTCGAGCTCCACCAAGCGAGCGGCCGGCTCCTGAGCCTCGGCAGCCTGAGCCTCGCCGAGCTACTGTTCTGCGGCGGCTTCTTCCTCGTGTACCTCGTCGAGGAAGCCGTCCACGCCGCCCTGAGCGGCAAACCCGAGTCGTCGGACGCCCTGCTCTACCGCACCGTGTCCGTCCGGCGCTGCAACCACGCCACCAGTCCCGCCCACCACTACAACCACAACAACGGTGGCGGAGGAGGATCATCATCATCAGCTCAGCCCGTCCCGGTGAGAGCTTGGCGCCTGTCCGAGGGCTCGGAGGCCGACGAGGAGCGCTGCCCCGCGAGCAAACACGGGGACCGTCCCGTCTTCGTGGCCGCGGTCGCTCCCATCCGGCACAACGACCACTACCACGACCGGCCGCTATCCCAGCGGGGACACTTGCCGGGCTGCGAGGAGGCCGGTCTCAAGCCACGAGCCAACGAGCCAAAGCCCAACGGTGCAGGCAACAAACAAACTCGGCCCCACGACAACTCGATGCGTAGCCTGTTGACGGTCCTGGCGTTGTCCTTCCACGCGATATTCGAGGGCCTGGCCGTGGGCCTCGAGCCGGCCATGAGCTCGGTCCTCTACTTGGCCGCCGCCATAGCCACCCACAAGCTCGTCATCTCCTTTTGCGTCGGCATGGAGCTTTACGTGGCTGGGGCCTCGAGGCGGGCGATACTCGGCTACTTGAGCGTCTTCTCCATGGTCACGCCCCTCGGTATAGCCATCGGGCTCGGGCTCGGGCAGTTTCGCGACGTTGGCGCCGGGGACGAGACCCTCGGGCCCGTGTCCACGATACTCCAGGGCATGGCGGCCGGCACCCTACTCTACGTCGTCTTCTTCGAGGTGTTGGCCCGCGAGAGGGCCAACGACAAGAGCGGCTTGCTACAGTTGGCCGCCATCTTCGTGGGTTTCATGCTCATGCTCGGCCTACAGCTCGTCAGTAAGTTTGTTGTTGTCGTTGTTTTCCATCTCTGCGCTCCTTCTCCTCCCCGATCCTCGGCTTGGTTGGTGCAAATTGTATATAATATTGCTGCACGCATCGTTTAGGCAATTTGGAGCAACCTGAACCTTCGTAATGAATGTTAATGAGCATACATACCTATGATGCGTGCATGCCTTCATACTTAATATACAATGTCAAAGAGAGCTTTTGTCTTTGACTGTTGTACACGCGGGCATCAAATTTACGTGTGCCTCTATTTATACGTGACGTATAAGTACTCGTATAGAGCGATTGTAATCATGCAAATTGATGGTCTTGTGGATTGCGTCACTCGTCACTTCGTTGTTCATGACTTGAGCTATATTTTACCCTATACGTATTATATACACGATATTTTACCATGATCACCGATGGCTCCGCCTTTGTTTCTTTACCTGCGCGTATCTACATTATATAATATAATATAATATACCTATACTTGCGAATGTTGTGTGAATGCGTACGGCACACACGCGGATAATTCCAGGTGTTATTGATATGTACCTATACCTACTCTTTAAATAATGATATATAATCAAGGTATACAAGTACGCGAGGCCAACCCATGACTTGTTTGCCTTGGGTCACCACATGATTTTCACTTACTAACTACTAAGTAGGTATCCATACAAACCCATATGGAGACAAAAAGTCACATAAACTCGGTCCACGTAGTGCAGGGAGTGGAATTTTGTTTTCCCTTTTGGAAACTTGATTAAATCAAACCACTTTTATTTCAGGATCAAACAGTCCTTTTTACTAGTTTGATGAAACCACAATACCGAGCACACGGTCTCGTGAAGCAGTGGTGTCTTAATTATACATACGTACATACACCACACAAAAAACGATATTCCAAACTTTCTTTACTGACGCATGTGTATACGTTATGGCCCCGGTAACGATGTAAAATTTAGCACATGCTGCGCAGCACAACCAAGAATGTACACATGTTTCGGCATCGCGAAAGTCCATTCCAATTGAATATCAATGAGAACCATCAGGAACGAGCCTCGGAGTTTTTACATTTCCTTTACTATATTGTATTTTTTTTTTCTTTCTTTTCAGCCGCTCACTCGCACGGAGGTCACGATCATGGGACGAACCATACACACCATACTCACCCCGAGACCCTGACCAGTTAAACGCGCACAACTGTTGTTGCGTCTTGTGTGAGTACATTATAATATACATTTTTTTTTTTTTAACGTATCTTCGGGTTCGCCCAACGTGTAACAGAAGCAATTATTTTTATCGCTCAGAGCGCTCATCCAAGATATTTTGCCATCGCGTACATTTAGAAAGTAAGATTGGTTTGAAGGAAAAAAAAAAAATTGAAAAAAAATCGAAATCTCCAACGCGGTGACAAGTGTCGTCTCGTACGTGTCTAAAATTAAAGAAAATGTCGATCAGGGGTACGGTGAGATAGACTCTCGTTGCCGTTTGTGGGACAAATTTTATTTTCTTGAAATTTTATTCATCAGTTACCGAAAAGTGAGGATAAAAATCCTTTTGTTATCTGTTTACAGGCAGTGCCATCATCGTCGTCGAGCAAGTAACCATCAAGGCCGTTGTAGATGGTTTATCGACTGCACTATGACGTAACCGCAGCTTTATATATATGTATATGCACGAAAATGATTGTGCATGTATATATACACACACATACAATTCATAATAAAACAGCCGTAAAGCCGTATTAAGTACATACATCGCACAAAAGCTCTCCGGCTCCTCTTTGACCTGCACAAGGGGAGCGCAACTCTTATGCAGATTTAGATAATATACATGTACACGTGTACCTATACATATATAGATATCATAAATAATTTTTTTATCGAGTACCTACAGTTGTAGCTAAAGTCTAGTTGAAGAAGGACCGATAGAGTTTAGGTTTCAAGAGGAGCAAGTGCGTCTCGATGGATATTTAGATGCATGATAAACAATTTTTTTCTTTTTCCTTATTTTTATCCATGTCCTATTATTAAGAAAGCGAAACTTTCGTATGTTTTTATGCGTGTGTGTGCGTTTTTTGCCATAAGTTATACTGACAAGATTACATTATTCTTTAATGTTATATTTTACAATATTTTTCTATCGTAATGCGCGATAAAACAATAAAGACATTGTAACTCTGTAATGTAAGAAGGTGAGTTCATTTGGGACAAAATCACGTTGTCTTGCATTTAAATGTATTACGAGTATTTTTTAACTGAACTTTTTTCCGAAAGACTTACGCATGATGCATCATCGTTACAAGTATGATAGTGAGAGATCTTTGGAAACTGTAATTGTGTTTCCGAGAGAAAAAAAAACAATATTTTTGATAGGTTTTTAAAAGTTAACTTTGTGATAGGATTAACCAGTAGAATAAGAATGAGACACGTTGTCTTGCATTTAAATGTATTACGAGTATTTTTTAACTGAACTTTTTTCCGAAAGACTTACGCATGATGCATCATCGTTACAAGTATGATAGTGAGAGATCTTTGGAAACTGTAATTGTGTTTCCGAGAGAAAAAAAAACAATATTTTTGATAGGTTTTTAAAAGTTAACTTTGTGATAGGATTAACCAGTNTTTATTATTCTTACTTTGTACATTTCCCATGTAAAAAAAAAAACAATAATAAATTAATATCACTACTATAACGGGATTCTATTTTACATGTATATACAAAAGAACATCTTACTTGAAAACGAACTTAAAGATCTTTATCAGTGAGATTTATGTTGATAAGTAGAAACAAAATATAAATTGGTTCTTTTAGTAACTCAAGTCCACTGCAAATTACTTTATAAGTAGACTCCACAAGAAATTGCCGATTGAAAGAAAAGCTTAGTGACACAATCGATAATTTCAATGCCACAAAAACACAACATAATAATAAAGATAATAATAATTAAGCTTTTAAGACTAACTCAGTTGGATGATATCGTCGGCGTGAGTTGCCTGATGAGTTCGTAGCACTCCTGTAGCCTCTTGCGGTCGCCAATGCGTTCAAGCGTCTTGGCCGCCTCGGCGAGCATACCTGCACGCTCGCCCGGAGATGCCAATAAAAGTACCGGTAAGTGCCGGCAAGCCAGACACAGAGCCGCGGCATGCTCGCGCTCGCCACCTCCGTGCTCGTTGGATCGGTCCTTCCCACAGATCACCGAGCTCCGGGAGTTGCGATGGTGCAGGCTACGATCCAGCAGAATTTGCGTCTTCACTGGAGTGGCTCCGGCAATTATCCTGGCCGTTGCCTCGTACAAGAAGATTCGCGGTAAAACGGACTGAAAGCAAACGATAATCGTTTAATTCCGCGTGACTCGCAATATACCGATGTCGTTTTAAAATTTACGAATATACTTACTGGTATATGCTGGCAAATTTGTCTCATGCAGGCCAGGTCTCGCTGAAAGCCGACCAAAATGGGGTTGACGGCGGATTTTTTTATGTCTCCTTTGACTTCCTCCCATAGTTGAGTCCTCACTTCCAACAGCCAATCGCATACCCACAGTTGAGTGAGCTAAAACAAATTGCATTAATTTTTACAAATGCAACAACGATGGAAGTCAAGCAATGTTTGAACAAATGACTTGTTGTCTCGGCCAACCACGAGACTTGCACTGCAGAAGTACTGCACAATCAAGTGCACGTGCAATGCAACTACAATGCACTCTCGTAGCAGCTTCAATGGATCACCGTGTTATTCAATGATAAAAATACAATCAATATCTAAATGGTATATCTTACCAAAACATTTTGAGATGACTGCTGTTTGCAGTTGTAGTAAACGGTCGAGTGCTCCAAGAACATGCTAGCTTGATCGATGAGACGCATCGCCATTCGTTTCGACGGTAATCTCATCAATTGCAAAAGGAAAAGCACAGCGTGGGGTAGTGGATTTTTGTTGCCTGATTGCGAACTTTTTTCGAATGGAAATTTGCCCTCGACAATGTTCCATGCGTCCGAATCCTCCTCACCCAATCTGAAGCTGGCCGCGACGCACATTGCGGCGCCCCACCACAATCCGATTTCATCTTCAACTTCTGAAAAAATATTGATTACACTTGTTACGCTCATCTAAACTAGGGATTTAATCAATTCGATTCGAAAAAAACTCACTGGTAACTCCAACTTTTTCCTCACTGCAAATGCACAAGTCAACTTGGGCCGAAACCATGATTTTCCGGGAAATATCGAGCAATCCCGACGAGTGAGCCTCGCCAACTGTACCCGCCAATAATCTCAAGCCTTGGCTAATAAGATGTTCCCTGTAAGCTCTGGAAGCATATGACAGGGGGTCCGACTTGTTATTTTGCTGAGTAAAGTCGCTCTCTTCTTTCTGACCGTAGCTCCACTTCTGCGAGACTAGGAAGCGCATAGCATCGTCGTCGACGATCCACTTGAGCTTCTGCGGCACGACGCAAGAAGCCAACAGATTGCGAGCCTTGTTGAAGTAAAATTTGTGAACTATCGGGAAACGCGATTGCTTGAAACAGAGCGCCGCGTTCACGTAGATCTCGGCCAGCATTGATTTAGGAATGGTCTCGCCGGAAGCTTCCGCGTAGTTAACAGCGGACAAAGCTACGTGCACCAGGGAATTCTTCGAGCCACGGGACAACTTGAGACACAAAATATGCTCGTAGACAATGGCCATCTCCATAGCCGATAACTCGGCCAAGTACTTTTCGGACTTGTCGGCGATCTTTTTACCAAAGAATGACACCAGTCTGCTGATGTAAGTGCGATGCAAGAGCTGACGAAACATCTGCCACACGGTCGCGAAGAAAACCTCCATGCGCGTAAGCGGCAGATGATGCGAAAAGTACTGGAGGCACTTGTGGAGATCTCGATAGGCTTGTTCGTAGTCGTCCTTGGACATGTTAAACTCGGCTTGACGTCGCCAACGGTGTAGTTCCACGGATACCGTATTGTCGGCTGGTAGCACAGGATCACCATGTAGTAATAATTTGTATAAACCAAAAGCAAGGAGTAGTACATTAGTGAGCCACAAAAATACACTACTCCAAACGTTTGGCTCGGAATCCGGTGTATCTGTAAAAAGGAGTTATCATTTATGAGCAATCGTTGTAAATCATTTTCGATTACTACTTGTAAAAAAAATTCACGCAAACCTCTGTTATATTCTAGAATTGTTCTTCCCTCGTAATTCAATTTGTAATCATAATTGAATTTACTCATACTGTTCATGACAAGTCCAAGCGGATTAAAGGCTAAGAAGATAAAGAGGAATGCACAGAGCGAGACGCGGGTGTGATCGGTCATACCCTTGTTTGTGGGAGCTGTAGGTCTGTGTATATTCTGCAAGACCTCCGGCTCCTCCTTGATAGTTGGAGGCGGAGGCGAGGGTGGCGATAAGGGCGCAGGTGCCGGTGACAAAGACGGCTCGCTGGTATCGGAACACGGAGGCGTCAATTCACCGCACACGAGCATGTCGCGAACGTTGTGACGCTGTGCTGACATTTTCAACGTCGCGTTTTCCGATTTCAATTTCGAATTGCAATTCTGAAGATGTCTGATGTAATCTATTGTTTTTCGTAGAATCGCCGATTTGTTGAGCTTAGCGTCAACCCCAACGACAATGTTTTTGAGCTCGATAATTTTATCATTTATCGACGTGCGATACCGTCTCTCGATTGCGTTGTGAGCACTACGCTTAACTTCCTTGACTTTTGGAACAGCTACATGGGTACTTGTGTTTATTCTATTTATTTGAACTTTGTCCGTGTCCAATACAAGAGGAATTCCTGAAATATTTAATAATTAAAACTAATTCACCTTTTTATTGCAAAACTGATGGATGTATTGCATACCTGTAGCAAGAACAGTGCCATTGCAGGTATTTACTAGAGTGTGAATTTGATGCTGCACAGGTGCAGTGTTTATAGCTTGTGATGTTCCAGAATAAACAATAGGCTCGGATTTAATAAGCTTAGCCGGTAACAGCAACTGTCTCTGCTGCGCGGATACAGGTGCCAAGGTAACCACAGGTGACGATTGAACGTTGAAGTTTATGTTTGGAGAAATGGTATAATGTGAGCCAAAAACAGCTTGCGCCTGAACAGTCGGTGCTTGCACAATTTTTTCCGGTGCCACCTGGGTTACCTGGGAAAGTGGTTGTTGTTGCTGTAAATTAACACTCGTCTCCACTTGACTGGGCTGTTGACATTGTATTTGTTGCGCTGGTATCGTCAACACAGCAATATTTGGTTTGGTATTGATGGGTTCTTGGAAAATTGGATTCACTTTCATCTCTTCCGAACTTGAAGTATTAAAAAGATTGAACTCCAAATCTCCTTCCTCCATAGGCAGAGAAGAATCATCGAGTTCCAACAGATGTTCATCACTGAACAAATTATCATTGTTCAGCAGATCATTTTCACAATTCGACAATAAATCTGCAAATAAACACGCAGCCATTAAAATGTAATCATGTCAAATTCACACCAAATGGTACAATCTTTGTTGAAATAAATCAAAGGGAAGAAAATAATTTAAATTATTAAATGTGAAAGGAGAAGAACAATTAATCATAGTTCAAAAGAAAGCCGAACGAGATGTCATGAGAGGCAAAACCAGAGAAGTGTTTACCACCCAGTGTTTTGTTTACATGATTTTCGACTGGTGGCGCACTGACATTTAGCAGAACACATTTTAGTCCAAGCTGATTGGTGTATTTCTATAATAACAACGCACGAGCTCAAAAAACTAATTAAGAAAAAAAAAATCCAAGGCAATAGTATTTCAATAGAAGGGGTTTGTGATCAAGTGCAGAATGCAGTGCATTGTATGTAGGTACCATCGAAGCCGGTCATATCGTTGATGCCAAAGGTGTCGGTGGCGGAGAAGCCGGAGAAATCGTGCTCCTGGACGGGAGCCCAGGCGTCGGCGTCGCTCATCGTGCTGCTTCCGTATAGCGTTATTCTTCCGGACGCTGGACTCGAGTAACATCAAATGTAATGAAAATTAAAAAACCAAAACAAATTGTTTTCACCAACGATTATCACATGTGTAGAGAGTCACGCTTTTCACTGCACACGACAGGATACAATAATAATAAGTGGATGGACACTGTAAGTATAATGTACACAAACACGAGTTAGCAGCAACGTGTATCAGGTATAACCGGGAGAAAGCAGCTGGGAATATGTCAGAGAGAGGTGCCGTGGAATAAGAGAAAACCACAGGAATCACCCGACCTGCGCCACAGCCAATCCGAACGGCAAACCGAATCGGACGATATTACGTCACGAGGTCACGTGGATGCGCTGCTGGCCTGATGAGATCGACTACAGAGTCCGAAAGTCACTGATTGGCTCCGCCATTTTCGGGACTAACTAAGAGAAAAAATGAGAGAGCGAAGAATGCGAAGATGTGTTATACGCGTAACGCGTGCGTGTAAATATTGTGAATCAGTGTTTCCCTCTAACCCCTCTACGCCGCTTCTCCTCTCCTCACTCCTCACGGGGTTCTTGTTGTCAGCGCCATCTACCGTTGTGATTTTCGGAAACTATTTGTCTAGGGGAAATCATCTTGAGAGAAAAAACCCTAGATTGTAGTGCTATATATACACATATATTCGACCTAGGGTCTTCCGCCAAAAAGAAATCACCATAGAAACCACTATATACAGAGATTGTACTGTCGGTACTAAGGTCAGTATATTCGCAGAAACACGGGCCCTGCAGTATCGACGCTTAACGTACTTACCCGTCAAAGGTATCTTGCCCAGACATTGTCGACCGTCGGCATGGCAGGGTTCTCTTAATTCAACGCCATCTAGCGTTGCGATTTTTGAACTACCCCACAGTTATACCTGTATAAATATACTTATAGGAGGTCGATTTTCAGGTAAAAGATGAATTGCAAACTTTCTGCAAATAGCACAGCCAACGTAAAATTTTTGTTACATATCTATAAAATTAGTTGCGGCTGGTTTATAATTGATTAAATGGCTCTACTATAAGTATAGTAATAATTATTTGGATCCGCGCCATCTAGCGGTCGAAATTTTTTTGGCCAAAAATTGCTTCTGAAATTCTGAAGAAGAGCTTCAGGCAGTTTAGGCCCTAGAGCCATTTAATCAATTATAAACCAGCCGCAACTAATCTGACAGATATAAAATAAAAATTTGAAACTGTTCGTACTATTTGCGGCAAGTTTGCAATTTACCTTCTATCCGAATATCGACCTTCTATGTATATTTATACTTTCGGGTAAAAGATAAATTGTAAATTTGCCGCAAATAGCACAAACAACGTTAACTTTTTATTTTATATCTGTAAGAATAGTTGCGGCTTGTTTATAATTGATTAAATGGCTCTAGGGCCTAAGCTGCCTAAAGCTCTCCTTGAGAATTTTAGGGCCACTTTTTAGTTCAGAAATCCGCAACGCTAGATGGCGCTGCTCCAAAAAATTATTACTACTTATAGTAGAGCCTTGTAACTGATAATAAACCAGCCGCAACTAATTTGCTAGATACGAAATAAAAAGTTGACATTGTCTGTGATGTTTGCGGCAAGAGTTCAGTTTATCTTTTATCCGAAAATCTAACTCCAAAAGTATAGATATTCTACTTATATGTTTTAATAAAATCGACCATATGGCACTACTTAGAAGTGATTACCATAGTTACTACACATAACTTCACGTATATGTTACACCGTGCTCTCTAATGATAAAGTCCAAAGTAAATATATGTAACAATCATAAGCTGTACTTAAGTAAATGAAATAAAAATCGTCTGCTTTGCAATTTGTTGTGTGCGCGCGCTTTCGTGCAATCACGTGTTTTTGTTCACTCTTCTGCGTTTTTATGTACTTATAGATGTCGTGAGTCGTGACCGGGCTTCCGTAAGCGTATGTATGACATATGTATTTACAACAAAAACAACACCCCATACCGTACGAGCCTTTTAGTTTGTCAGCATAGGCCATAGCTCCCGGAAGAATTTTAGAGTATTTTTAATAAGAGGTAAGTGATGTTGTTTTTAATTTGTCATGAGCAAATATTGTAAAAACTATATATGCTTCTATTTTCATATAATATATCTCGATAAAACACATTGTTGTCGATGAAAATACACTTGTCCGGCCCTACAATAGTATAATGTAGGTACCAACTTGCGTATCACAATACTCTTTACTCGACGCAATAATTCCTTATTATTACTTTCATCGCCATTCGTTATTTTTTGGTGTACGAGTGTGTACATACGTATTTACATGCATGATTACATGCATGATACATTTTAAGTGATTAAAAATTGAACACGTAAGGATTCCTCGGCGTCTAACCTTTCAATAGATATGCGTCAGATACCGTTGCCTTCAGTATATGAGTGTATCTACACCACTCGTGACCAGAGCAATTTTTTTTATTTACGAGAAGTCCAGCTGATTAATATTTTAACTGCACATTACTCCGAAGATTCTTGCAACAGACTTCAATTTAATGATCAGTAAAAACATTTTGTTCCTACAAATATTTCGATAGTTTCAATTAAATTATTATTTTAAATGCGAAAATATTCATTTGAATTAAATTCACGCAAATTCATTGCTTTTTAATATTTAAATTGTATTCATTGCGATATTCTTGGTCGAGTCATTGACATGATGGGTTTATGTTCAAGTCATCATAGGATCGGTAGAAGAAAATTTCCTTGCCTAAACGATCCACGCGTTACAGTGTATTTTTATAAAATATTTACAACAAAGTTTTCGGCTAAAAATGTTTCGTAAAAGCGCGATAAAAAATTATTTCTTTGAGTTTACTTAATTTTATTTCAGTATTTAGTATACTTGACGTGATGCGATATTTGTGATGCATTACCCGATGTGATGAAGTGTCTGGAAGGATGCTTTTTATAGACATAATATAAATAATGTGTACATGAAATGTGGCGCAATGTGGCGATCAGTGATAATAATTGCCCATCTATATATAACTATACATATATGACATGAGTCATACAAACTGTATGTACACTCGTGATACGTGTTTTTTACGTTTTTTATCGTCAATCGTACACGAATTCTTTTATATATGTATTAATAGTATGTCAATCTTTTTTTTCCGAACGCCAAAAAAATAAATTCAACATTCCAATCAATAAATCTAATTTTTTTTCTCCATTTCGTTAATTCTTGGTAAATAATTTTTTTTGTTTTCTAGATGTAATGAATATTTAAAATCCAAAAAAATTGCATCATTTAGAAAAACAATTCATACACTGTCTTTAAAATTTTATTTTTTGAAAATTTGAATATGTTAGATTTTTTTATATCGAAATAAGGTAAACATTTTTTTTTAACTCCAACCGATGCGCGGAGGTATTATCACTGTAGAATTATGGAAAAACCAACACGTTATATTGTTTTTTCCCAACATGTTTGATGTAGTGCTCTCTTTTTCCCCAATATACCTAGTCTCTGTACTAGACATTAAATTAACATCCATTTTTTATACAAAATACACTTCTTTTCAGATACTCATTTTTCCTAAAACAAAACCAAAAAAGGAAGGAAAAAAAAAAAAGACAACTATGTCGGATCAAACCACAAACGGAAGCAGCCCTGCGGTGAGCAATGTACCACACCTGGAGGTGATTGACCGTGTGATGAGCATACCGGTTGTCCAGTCAGCAATCGAGAAGACCAACTCCACCTACTCTTACGTAAAAGATTCGCACCACCTGATCAACTGGGCGTTGAATTACGCCGAAGCTGGATTGCACTATGCGACTGCCACGGCTGTACCGATGGCTGCACCTTTGGCTAAAAAGTTTGAGGGCCCCATCAGCAGCGTCGATCAGAAACTCTGCCAGGGCTTGGATATGGTCGAGCAGAAGGTGCCTATCGTCAAGCAGCCGCCTACTGAGGTGAGAAATTTTTACACTGATCTCCCCCATTTCTTGGGTAGAGATTTACGTATAAAAATGATTGTTCGTTTCTTTCTCAGATCTACGAGGCCGCGAAAAAAGTATTGAACAGCTCGCTCCAGCCAACGGTTGAGAAGCTCGTATCTGCTAAAGAGTCCGCGAGTGTTCAAGCCAGTCATCTCAAGGAGATCAGTATCAACAAGGCCAATGAGGTCTTGAGCACCGACTACGGTGCTTTGGCTATCCAAGGCGTCGACAGCACGAGTGTCCTCATCAACCGCCTCCTGGATAATTTCTTTCCACCGGCAGCCGATGAAGAGGAAACTCCAGGTATGTAACTATGTATCAAAGGCAGTTCAATGCAGTAAAATAAAAATTGACTTATTTTATAATATTCTCTCTCTTCCCCTGTCTTGCAGCTCCAGTATCGGCGGACGAGAACAAAGTTCTTCACGCTGTCCAGACGATTGGCCAGCTGTCAGCAAAGACGGCGAACCGCGTGTACCATTCAGTGGCTGCACAGCTGAAGACCGTTAAGAAAGAGGATGTTTCCAATTACATATCCAGTGTCGTGTCAATTCTTCACTTGACCAATTTCCTGAAACTCGGACATCAGCCAGAGACGCCGAAAAGTACCGACGAAACAAATAGCGATTCGGCGGCTTCGGATAAGCCAAAGTCCAGTTAAAGAGAGGAAGACTCTGCGAAGAGATGATTTATTATTTTTGGGTGATGGTCGTTAACTTCTATGCGTATCGAAATTTATTGTAATTGCCAATGAAAAGTTGAGCTTTTATGCATATATAGGCTGTATTTATTTGATATATTTATACATATGTTTACCTGAGATAAGAAATTTTATACAAAGTTTGTAAGAGACGCTTATTGATGAAAATTTTGATACCTGTTTTTTTTATATACTTCATCTATTTTATAAAAAAAAATATATGTCTTGTAGCTCTGAATGCTCGTTTCAAGGACACGATTTCGTAAATACTGTTTTTGTAATGTACACAATTGTAAATCTATGAACATTATTATACTCGTTATTTTTTTATACAAGTCTCAGTGCCAGTACTGATATTGTTAGTTTCACAAAAACCGTGTAAGACTTTTAAATACAAAAAATCTTCTAATATATTTCTAAAAATGTACAAAATCATCATACGTACTCCAATACAAAATCACAGGACTTGTGTTTAAAAAACAAAAAAAAATTTGGTATTTGTATTGTAATTGTTTATACGTATTTTAACACTTCTGTAAAAAAAATATTAGAGTATTACGTACATTACATACATAAATAAATACTGTGTATAACTAATGTGGGTGCCAACAACGGAAAATAAGTCTTTAGCTACTTTTATACAAAAATATTTTGCATGACAATTCGAAACTTATTGCTTCATCTCGATTATTGAATTTAATAAAATTTAACTTTTACCTTACATGAATATATATATATATATATTCAATAGATATGCGTNGATATATATATATATATATATCTGCACATTTTTGCAGTACTTGTAATAATTAACAAGTGTCGATTATATTTTATGACATATGGGTATATAGCATTTTTATTTTTCATGTTCAATAAAGTACTGATGTTTATTAATTTGTAACGTTTTGATGATTTTTACCTAGAATTTATTATTTCAATAATTCGTATCAAAATATTTTAAATACATTTTTAATTTGTTCAAAAATACAATGTTATCTCGTATATTAAATGATTGTTTCGCTGATGAAAACAAAATGTCCCACTATCAATTTAAGTGTCAGTGTAAATTGTATCGTACAGTTTAAGTCTGGTTTAAGTTAGTTTATTGGCTTTGTATTTTTTTACATATATACAGCCTGATGTTACGGGCCGAAAATTTCGGCTGTATTCCGCAAATGCTGAATAATATGCCGCAAATATATATTGAACAAATCTCTTTTCCACGTAACGATGTATAACAATATTAGGTACAAGCTGATGTACTTACTTAAGTAAATGAAATAGAAACCGTTTGCTTTGCAACTTGTTTTGATGGGCGCTCTTTCGTGCACTCGTACATAAGTACGTGTTTTTGTGCGCACTCTTCTGCGTTTTTATGGAGATGTCGTGACCAGGCTTCCGTAGAATCTAGAATCGCCCTCTGAAAGTCAAACACATCACTTGTCGCGCTCGATGCGTCGATGTAAACTCCCTTGATCGCGCCCCTTTAAAATTAATGTTTACAATGTCGGAGGTCAAAATAGAAGTAGAGAGGTGAAAAGTCCTTCTTATAAATTAAGTAGTTTGTACTTTTATAATGAAAAAATTTAAGGATTTTTTAAACTTTTGTACTTAACCTTCATATTTATAAAACTGATAGAATTTGATGTATAAGATTAAATTTTAAGGTTATAGAGTTGTTTGACAACAAACTAACGATAAATAATTTCTTTTTATTTATTATCTATTAGCACAATGCCGGAAGAAACAGACAATGTGCTGAAAAATGGTAATGGTGAAAAAACTAGTGACAGTGACGTTAATTACAAGGAAGAAATAAAAAACGAAATCAAGGCAGAAATTAAAAACGAGTTAAAAACAGATGAGATGCATGACAAAACCAATGGACGTGCGACAGTCGAAATTGGAAATTGTTATTGGTAATTGTTTCATCAGTCCACTGATTTTTCTGCAAACGTATCATATTTTTGCATCATGAGGTTTACAATTTATTTCTAGTGGCAAAGATAGAAATCTGAATATTGCAGAGTTGTTGTGTGCCAGTTGTACGAGATGGTTTCATGAATCTTGTGTTGGATATCAATTGGGCAAGTTGGTACCATTTATGATGAACTACGTTTTTGTATGTAAAAATTGCTCTCAAACTGGACTAGAGAATTTCAAGAAAAATCCAGCGCGTAGGTTTTTGCAACTAAATTTTATACTGCTCTATTATAATTGAACTTATGGGTGTGTGTTTGATCTACAGAGTTTCCACAAATGTGCGTGACTGCTATTGCAAATTTAATACAAAGTTGCCAAAAAGATAATACCAACAGAACTGTCTTTCACAAGGACAGAGATATAATTCCATTTATAGAATATCATTGGGAAAGCATGACAACAATACCTAGAAGAGTGACACTGTCATGGCATGCAAGAGTCAGTATTTTCTTTCATTAAATCTCTTACATGTTTTCTTCTTTTTCATAAAATAATTTCTCTTGACGTCTTATCTAAATAAAATAAGTTAATTTTAATCAAAAATCTGCATAGATACACAAAGCTCTGATAAAAGATCTTGGAACACTTTTTTTTATGGATGACACAGCAGCAGAAAGCCAGCTGTATGGACTTGTATGTGCAGATCTAATGTCCATTAAACCTAATTATGAAGCTATGGTGAAAGGAGGTACTTTGAAAGTGACTGACATGGGAATACAGCAAATCGGTAAATACAAAATCTAAGATTTAATCAGCTATTTAACAACTTCAACCAAGCCTTATCTTATCTATACACTTTGTGTCGGGTATTATATAGCTGTACGAATTTTTTGTTAAAAACTTCAACTTAAAGCGATATATTTTTGTTTCTTCACTTTTGCGGCCTTTGTAATAATGTTTTGTCACATTGATATAAAAATTACAGTACCAATATCTAGTGGCATGAGAGGACGTAATTCCAAACGTAAGTTTCCTGTGGAGGGAATTAGTTCTGGTCCAGGCAAAAAAGGTAGAGGTTCAGACATCACAGCTGCTAAGCTCTCTGCTCATGGCTACCCCATGGATCATCCTTTTAATAAAGAAAACTACAGATATATCCTAGCTGAACCAGATCCACACGCGCCTTTTAAACAAGTAAGTCAACTTTTTTATTGTAAAATTTTGGTAATTGAATGTCACGTGTTATTATTTTAGGAATTTGATGAAAGTAGTGATTGGGCTGGTAAACCGATTCCTGGGTGGCTTTATAGACCACAGAGTCCAAATGTTGTGCTTTTGGCTTTGCATGATAGAGCACAACAGTTGAAAGTTTCAGAGGATAGACTGACAGTTACTGGCGATAAAGGATATTGCATGATCAGAGCAACTCACTGTGAGTATTTAAACATTTTTGTAAGTTCAAATTTTATGACGCATTAAAATTGATTGATCATTATTAAATATCATATTGCAGCTGTAAGCAGAGGTACATGGTATTGGGAAGCAACTCTGGACGACATGCCTGAAAATTCTGCCACTAGGCTTGGTTGGGGCCAAGAATATGCTAATTTACAGGCACCACTGGGTTATGATAAGTTTGGCTACTCTTACAGATCTCGGTAATTGACAATAATATTTCAATGTATGTTTTTCAACTTGTTGGATTCATAAAAAAATACTTTAGTAAAGGAACGCGTTTCCACGAAAGCAGAGGAAAACATTACGGTACAGGATATGGAGAGGGAGATACTGTAGGATTCCTCATAATATTACCAGATGATTACAGGCCGTCACACATTCCTAAAACATATAAAGATCGTGTATGCATTAAAAAAAAACTTTTTTACATCAATTTTCACCAGTAGTGACTCAAAAATTTTTAAATGTTTTAGCCATTAATAAAATCCAAAAGTCATTTATATTACGAAGAAAGGGATCAAATTCCGGAAGCTATAAAAACATTAAAACCTCTATTAGGCAGTAAGATAGTATATTTTAAGAATGGTGTTACTCAGGGAGAAGCTTTTGTAAATATGTATGATGGTGCTTACTACCCATGTGTTTCAATTTACAAAAGTGCCACAGTATCTGTGAATTTCGGACCACATTTTAAATATCCTCCTAAATGCGTCAATTTCAGAGGGGTAATTAATAATTTGTTTATCTTTATAATTATTATAAAACGTTACCATGTTCCATGTAACTTTTAATAACTCTTTCAGATGTATGATAAAGCAGAAGAAGCAATTGCAGAACAAGCAATGGCTGACATACTGTTTTTTACAGAAAACGAGGGAAAATTAAGATTAGACAATATTACATTATGACACTAGTAAATGTTTTTAGTTTCGTTTTACTTTAATTTTTAATAAAAAAAAAATAAATAAAAAAAAATTTCTTCGTACATTTAGTCCAGCAATGTCCTTTGGCCATTGAAAAAAATATGGATGAATACGGAAAACTTACATATGAAGTAATTTACCATGCCATAAGTTAATTTAAAAATGCAATTTTGTCTTAAGATGTGATGAGATTTTTTTATCACACAAGTATTTACATTTGTATAAAAATCATTTTCAATGCATTGTTAGAAAATTTTAGCTATTCATTACAAAATAAGCTTGATAAAAATTTGTCAATCACAATAAGCCTATTTGCCAAATCCACCTCTACAATTAGGACTAGGCTCAATTACTTTAGTGGACTCTGCCCACTGACTTGGTGTTTTAGCCTTAAAGAAACATAAAATTATCTTTATAGTTAAAAGTTAATTGAGATAAGCCTGAATATTAAAATTATATACTTACGACAATGGATAGTGCATGAACATTAGACCGCAATTCATCACTGAGTAACTCATTAACTAATCTATGTCTCTGTTCAACATAAAAGTAATTTTAAATAATGTAGTAAAACGCTCGAAAAAATTTTTTCATTTGTAAGATTAATAATTACCTTGATCAATGGTAAATTTTCGAATTTGTCGGAAACAACGACAACTTTAAAATGTGTTTCTGAGCCTTTGGGCACATTATGCATATGAGATTCGTTGAGCACATCCATGTAAACAGGATTAAACTTTTCCTCCAATTTCTTCCTCATTAGAGTTTCAACGGGTTTTGGAAAAACTGCCTGGGCCATCTGACGAAGTGTATTGTTGTAGCAATAATCATAACCTGTAAATCATTTTTATTACAATGACACATTAAATAGCACTTTCTCTGATTTCTTGTTGAATCACTTCATTTTTCAATGAGGTCTCGATACTGTCAGTCCTTTAAAAATCGCAACCAATTTATTTGAGTCTTTTATTAACGTCACAAACTCACCATGCAATCGTGCAAAGATCCTCAACATCTAAGCAGAGAAAAAAAACTTAACGCGAGTTTTTTTCAAGTACAGTATTTACTTGAATCAAATGGCAAACGAGAAATAAAATTTTTTTGTTGATTTTCGAAGATAACATTAATTGCTATTGGTGGAGTTCTATGTTACCTTGAAAATATTTATATTCTAACGTGTTATAATGGTGACTGGTCTAGAACAATCGGTATTGTGACGGTCTGCAAAACTGCTTCGTCCTTTGCTTTTGCTATATTCATCCGCTAGGTGTCTAACCGTTCCTTCCGCCCGTCAGTGACCGGAATTGGTATCGATCGGGTCGGTACATAATGCTGTTTTAAAATAAATCGGATACTCTCTCAACTGTACAAAAGAGAGATTTATCAGGATTATTCCCAAAAATACAATACACATAATACATCAATAGCAAGTTCTGAACGTTCAATGGGACAGCTATGGTGCAGGTGCTGAAATACCCATATAATCTCTGCCAATCGCTCACAATCTGGTTCCTCTCCAAAGTTACAACGGTGCTGAAAAATCCAACAGAGACCTTTTGACACTTTCAAATCACTGAGCACGAGATTACGATAAGATGGAACTATACGGTATATCTAAAATCTTCAGCTGGTATTTTCAGGACATGGCCACAGCAATGAAATCGTTAACATTATTGGGACTATTGAAATATAAATAATGGCAGTAATTAATACCAATGCAGTTTTATTAAACATGTATGTACAACACAATATCAATTTTCGCACTTTAACTCATTTCAAATACATGTAATAAATTAACATCTACATAGTTGTATAATAGTTTCACATAGTTTATATACAATACAAAAAATTTTTTTATCAAGAAACAACATTGCAATAAATAAATAAATGCCCATAAGTATATATAGGTGTGGTGACAAACGGTACTCTGTGCGCGTCAGTCGATCAGTGTTAATTTATCAGTTCGATAAAAATGTTACATTTCGGCTCAACGTTTGTAAACGCAATATTTTAAAATGCAGTATACGGATTTTTTTGTATGCTTTTTTTCCTTAGTACAAGTAAAACGTTATTTTAACACCTAAAAATTGTTGTTTTCTTTTAATTAAAATTCGACAAAAATCTAGTAAACTATAAAAATAAATGCTCAACGTGTTTAAGAAAAGACAAAATGATACACAAAAACATAAATTGCACTGTTGTGCGTTTTTTACACACTTTCGGTTAATATTACAATGTTGCGATTAGCGTAGGTATATCTAGGTTTAAAAATATTAAAATGTAACCAACAGTTGTACTGAATCAAACAAGCGTTTTCATGCAATATTATTTTTTTCTTATCGATTCTGCAAAAAAAAAACAGTTGTACTGAATCAAACAAGCGTTTTCATGCAATATAATTTTTTTCTTATCGATTCTGCAAAAAAAAAAAAAAAAAAAAAAGGAAACAGAAACATAAGAATCTCGATTTAAAATACCTGTCGATAACAACAAAAAAACATTCCGATAAAAATGACCAACTCGGCCAAAACATACAAATATATGATTCATTTACAATGATGAAACGTAAAAATGCATAAACGATCTCTATAAAGACTTCACCAGCTAGTTCAATTGTTTCCGAAAATAGCCGCCCGCTGTCGGAACTGTTCGCGCCGCGCTGCCTTTTCCTCCTCCTGACGCCTACGTTCTTCCTGCTCCATTCGAATCTCGTGCTCGAATTTATTCGAATTACTTTGCTGCTCGATCTGGAAAGCGAAAATATAATTGTAGGATATTTATTACGCATAGTTCATGAAAAGGCAATTGCTTAGATCGATCTTACCTTAGCTTCGAAGAAGTTTTTGGCACCGTTGACACCGACCGCGTCCACGTCCACTTCTGTGAGTCTAGCGAGCTGACCCAAGCCAGAGTCGTGCTCGAGTTCACCGGCAAGCGCTTTACGGTAAATCAATAGGAACTGCAAGAGACAAAATAAATTTTTTAATAATCACTCAACAAAATATTACGTGCTGACTCTCGTGCACCTTTTTTTCTTTCTTTTTTTAAGGGGGGAGTATGATTTTAAAATGTTGGACGAAACCGTTTCTTATAAAAACACGGGATTTTCATTGTATCGGTTGTTGTACCTATCAGATCTGCACGCGAGTCGTTTAATTAAGAGAGAGGGGAACAACTTTCCAATCCATGTAATTGTTACCATCCATCGAGGCCGTGCGCTTGAGTTACGATTAATTAATGTAACCGATTTTCGGCTGTAAGCTTTGAAAAAATTACAGGTACGAAAGTTACATATACTTATGGGTACATAACACTATGAAGGGAAGGCATCGGTCACACGTGACACTCCAATGACTCATTTTCTTTCAGTCAGCACCGGGAGGGGGGGGGGGAATTGTTCCGGTGAACTTTGAATTTCCTATATCCCAATGTCACGAGTAATATACACGGTAAACCTTACAGACTTGACAGATTAATTATCTACTAATACTCATACGAGCGAACTGATTCATCGTGCTAATCATCGGCAAAAAGAGAAAATTTTTCGTTATACGTTTCATTGTATGATTGTGTGGCCGATATACTTACTGACAAACGGTACGATTTCTAATTTTCAAATCGAGTCCATTCAGTAATTGGATACACTTGGAAACATTTCGTGGGCTTCCTCCTCGTGTCAGATTCCATTGAATTTTTTTTACAGTAAGCCGGGTATTACGACAAGAGTAAAGTTTAAATGTCCCGTGTTACTTGCAAACAAAATGACCCCTAACACGATCCAACCGAATATTCCTTATACGGACAGAGTAAATGTATACCTTTTATTGTACTTGCAGTGATAACATATCATCATCATCATCATTGTACGTGATGGTGAGTCACTCGTGCAATATAAGTACGTACACGTGTTTACCCATTTGAAATTTCACACGCTGGGGAGCAAAAAATCAATAAAATCAAGCAAACATCCGGTTTACGCGAAATGCCACGTTTAAAATGACCCTCTTCTGCATTGCACTTACTGTACACACGATGTGACGCATAAAATTCATATCATATAATATGAACATGTATGTTACAATCGCGTGCTAAATATAAACACACGTACAACGAACAAAGATAAGGGGAGAGAGAGAGAAATTGTCCACTCCACAGATAAGAGGGAAAGGGCGAGTGTACCACCAAACAGCGGGGGAAAAATATATTACTTACGCGTGAATTAATGAACGAGAGGATAGCGATTGATATCGTCTTTTCCCGCAATCGTATTCTCACTGGATTTGAATGATTCATCGCGCTATGAGTAATAGGGACGTGTACGTACACCATACATTAAAAAAAAAAAATAAAAAAAAAAAGCGATTATCGAAATAAGTAAACTAATGATTTGTCCAGACACAATTTATGCCCACATTGATATTGTAGGGGAGCAAAAAATTGTATAACTCGGTATATACCTATATACCTCATGATTTATCTTTACCGCAGCCGATCTCTGGTATATACGTATTACGTAGTATATATTATTATGGGGGAGCTGTTTACTCCGATGGAACTGACAAACAATGCACACGAAGGACGAATATGCAATATTATATGCATATGTATGTACTGGCGACCGATACAGTGAAAAATTCGCGTGTATTCATTTGCAGAATACTTGAACAAAGGAATAATTAAATTTATTGAGATGTAAAAAAAAAAAAAAAAAAAAAAAAATAGTAATGGGAATAAGACTTATAGACCTGCAATAGGTGCCATTAATTTCACGTCTCACGCGTTGTACATTGTATCGTATCGATGATGCTACTTATTGTGGCCTCAGAGAACTTTCTTGAGCGAAGAGCCGGTCAGCGCGCGACATCATGTAAGTTAACGGCAAAAACGGCACTTTCGACGCTTTTACGTCTATGCGCGTGTATACGTATACGTATTTGTCCATGGGCACACATGGGTATTTTATTACTGCTATGAAATCGTGCTTGCACAGATAGATAGAGCCAAGTACATATAGGTATACACTTTACGAGAGATAAGTATGGTATACGGACGATACTTTTTATTGCCATGTATACCTATCTAATGGCTATCTATGACCGAGCGAAAGGAAAGAAAAAAAAAAAAAAAAAAAAAAGTGCCGGCACGCATGAGCCACGCACACGTATACCTAAGTAAACGTATACGGTATACTTATGGTACGAGGAGTGATGGTAAACATATGGGTACACTTTTACTGTGACTGTCATTTCATTATTTTTATTATTATTATTATTATTATTATGATCATTAAAAATACATATTTCCTATTGATCTTTAGGATGAAATATCAATCGCGATGTAATATACAGTGAAACAAGCAAACGCAAGTCTATATAACGACTATGGCATCCCAAGTGAAGTGTCGTTGGAATTTTCGATACTTATCGTACCCGTAAGAATTTCAATCACGCCGTACTTGAAAAAGAAAAAGCCACGCGACTGCAATTTATTATACCGGAAGCCCCGTGTACGGACGAGGAGTCAATTCCCTATGGCCATGCAATTAAGCATATACCCTAACTGTACGTTCAAGTATATAATATATAGTGTGGCCATGGTGTACGTGCACCTCGACGTGGTATACGTACATTCAATTTTTGTTCTTCTGTAACAATAATAAAAACAAAAAAATACAGTGCTCGAGAGGGACAGGGAGTGCGCGAGCACTGTACACGTGTATCGTTTTCCAATAAAAAACACACACAAAGCCTGAAATCCAATTGACGCGCGGAATCAAAGTGTAAGCGCCACGAGTGATCCAATCGCCGGGTTATTTCGAGATTATCTATGTTTAAGTAAACAAAGAAAGGGAGAGAGAGAAAAATAAGTTCACTGACCTCGCGAAAGGAAATACGTCCGTCCTGGTCCTCGTCGACCTCTTGGATCATCGCCTTGAGGCCCAGGTGTGTTTGGGGCGCTCCCAAGACCTCCATCATGCGCTTCAGCTCGTTCAGATCCAGAAAACCGTCTTTTCCATCGTCGAACCTGTTTAATTATCAATCGGAACATTACTATGGGTTTCTACATTATTTTTATTTATTTATTTATTTATTTTTTTTTCAACTGCGAATAGATAGGTAAAAAATTTAATAGTATTAGGTGTCATATATCACGCACTATCGTTGATTTATGTTGTATATTCATAAATCAAACATTTCTAGTTGTTGGTTTCGAATGATTGAAACGGATCGCAAAATATTCATCGTTTCGTATATACTGTAAAATGAAAATAGAAAAAAAAAAAAAAAAAAACATCCTTGGGACCTCGTGTTGAGAGTCGAATCTATTGAATTATTCAACTTGTTTTTGCTCTTTTTCCCCACTGGCAGTAGGTGTTTCCATGTTTGTACATCGTGTGTGTAAAAAAATCGTTGAAGCTTATAAAAAAAAGCACGTCGGGTCTTTGAACCGTAAGTGTCGCTTGAATCCTTTCCCTAATTCAGTATTTTTGTTTTTTTTTTTTGTTTTGTTCAACCCGTTTTGTCAGCTACAAAAGAACAAAAAAAAAAAAAAACGAACTGAAAAACTTGTCTAATGCATAAATAAACTGTACAGTGAGTCATTGTACTCGGCACGAGCTATCAAAGTGATCGAAACAGAGATTATTATTTCCTGCATGTACCTTTTCAAATGAACAAAACGTATTTTTTAATTAACAATTAATATACATCACCATTACCCCCCAAATGGAACCCTACAATCTGCCGTGTGAACTGTTTGCACTTACGTTCGCGCCAATTGATTCAATGTTCAGCCTAATTGCCATCATCTTAATTGAAACAACGGCGTTACCATCATCTGATTAATTGTATTACCTATTTCCTCTTCCTCCTCCTCTCTCTTTCTCACTCATGTGCGAACAAGAAAAAGTCGTGCCGCGCCATTAGGCATCGACGAAGCTTGTACTAACTTTTTTTCTCTAACAAGTATATTCAACGAGGAGGAAATCATGTATCAAAGAAAAAAAATTTCTTTTTTTTTTTATCTGTTTCAAAACCATGTACATTATTTTATCAAATAGTTTGGTGGGACAAATTGATTGATAGCCATGAAAAAAAGAAGAACGAACGAGTTAAAACACTCGATGTAAAATATGATCATCCAAATCAATTATCTAATTAGATCGATTCCCTCAATGAGCTTCCGCGTAATCTCAGATGAAAATAAAAATCTCTCGCAAATCGATTGTTTCAACTAACCCACACAATCGTATAATCAAACGGGCTTTTCTCTCGCGGTACTTATTCGGCAACCTGTGTAAAAAATGTGTTTTATGGGGTATCCGCTGCATGCACATAAATACGCGTCAAGATCGCCAACCGCGCGTATACTTGTAGGGTAAGCGGTAGAGCACTGATACCAAGATCGTTTGGAAAATCGGTAACAAGTGAGAGCGCCACTAGAGAAAATCACCAACCATTATCATTATAATCATTGGTCCTTCTGGCGTCTCGTCGCGTGAAAAAACTCTCACTCATAGGTATAGGTATACGCGCTTCCGCGGTACATACAACACTGTACAAGTCATTTGGCGAGAGCTGACGCTTGTTCCGTATTATGTACGCGCGTATACGTACTTGCGTGTGCCATTTTTTTCCCCAAGGATGCAACGTTGGGTTTAAAAATATCGGATGGGGAAAGCTATCGACGAGTACTTCGATTGCGCGGTATCTATATGTATAGTTGAGGGGAAATCGCGTGTGTACAAAGTTTGTTTGTGTGTATATATACGTATATACGATGACGATGTACCCCAAAGTGCGGAAGTGATTGTTTCTCTTCATACTCACGCGTGTATTTTTTTTTTCTTTCATTTTAGACTGCCCGTACGATTTGTCACTCTCAATGATTGAACTTGGTCGAGTTAGCGCGCACGTTACCGGTATATATCATGACCAAGGTTGTTATCAACGCGTGTGTGCAATCATATTCAATTTTTACCGAGTGTATGAAAAAAAAAAAAAAAAATACAACAAAATCAAACATTATATGCTTCAACTTTGCGAAGCAACAACTTTTCTGTTTGTCAGAGGAGACGGAACAACGGGCTTCCCAAGCAATTTTTTCACGCGCGAGTGTAATACACGCATATGCTTATTAATATAAATATATTACGCGAATACAATGCAATTACCCATACGGTGGAAAGAAATGTATACATCAGCAATACATGATGAGGTCGATGATCTCTGATATTATATACACCACCTTCGCCGTATCTCTATATAATTAAGTGGGTATACGTTATACATGTAGTGTTTCTGTGAAATATGGATATAGAGAGACACAAACGAGAAGTGCGATTGTCACGATTAAGTTCCAGCGATGTTAAGTTTTACGCGCCACGAAGTTTAGGTGGTGTGTGCACACTAATCGTATAGAATCGTGGCCGCTCGATGAAGACGAATGCAAAAAAAGGTTTAAGAGTAGGTACACTTGTACATGTGTATCTCCGAGTCTTGTGCTTAATACACGCAGCGTGAGCTCGAGGTCAAAGGAGGTTTTCTTTTCTTTTCGGGTCGCGATCGATTCCAACCATGCATAATATGTCTCATACTTTTGTATGGCTTATGAAGAAAAATTGTAAAAAATACTATTTTATAGTGTTGATATGATAAAAAAAAAAAAAAAAAAAAAAAAAGAGGACCCGCATCAGTTTAGGGGAGTCACAATATCATAATTTAACTTTGAGCATTGTGATTTACACAAAAATGGTCCGATTTAAACGGGCCAATAGAGACCTTGGGGTGCATAAACACTGTACCTGCATCACAAAAATCAGGGAGCCGAATAAGTACACATGAGTATATTATGCATCCGGCGCGTTTCTGCTTCCAAGTTAAAACCCAAGTCAGAAGATAATTGTAAAGAAACTTGCATGTTATACATATACACGTGATACGAATATTTTCACTACAATCTACTTCGTGAATAATTTCGTACCAGGTATATCTTCGCGACAACTGGGACAGCTCGATTTTTTTGCGAAACAACTTTTTTTTATCATTTCGGATTGATCACCTGTATAACGCGCTACACCGAAGTCGTAATGCATCATGTAATCTCAAACATTGTATTGTATTATGCAGTTGGCGAGCGAGCGTGTAGTTGTCAAAGCCTATCATATTATATACCTATGTACTTAAAGGTGATTGCGAGAGGCAAAGGTGTTTTTGCCATTCACTGACATTTCGCAGGAGATTTAAGTCGAGCAGCACATACATAGAAGAGAGCGTGTATATACACTGATTGCGTCAACAAATTCAATATATGCTCTGCGCTTTACACAGTCGTCCTATTTTTTTTTTTTTGTTTTTTTTTTGTTTTTTTTTTTCAACCCGTTTTGTCAGCTACAAAAAAAAAAAAAAAAAAAAAAAACATCCTTGGGACCTCGTGTTGAGAGTCGAATCTATTGAATTATTCAACTTGTTTTTGCTNTTTTTTTTTTTTTTTTCATAAACAATGCCGCGTTTGTATTTTACCCGCGCACAAGCTGTGTCGGCAAAAAAGCGCTGTGTTGTTTTTAAAAAAAAATATTTGCGTACCCTGATTTTGATCCGACGAGAGATTTTGCAACTTATGTATATAAAACACTGGCTTGACATGTAACCATCGATACGTAAAATTTTGAAAAAAAATTTGTTCCATCGGTCTAATTTGAGTCGCGAATCGCTGTGGTGATCAATTTATCCATCCAATTATCATAAATAAAAAACAGAGCCTATGATTGGCGTATCGGGTACCATCAAAATTTCACTACGTTAACTTCAATACGTTAACGGCAATGTGTATATACATAATATATAGTGTATTTCTATATGTGCATAGAGGTAAACGCAAAAATATGTGGATAATTATACAGATAGGTGTAGTTGCAGGCATCTGGAATTTTCCCGGACAATGTAATGTATACAACGTTACTCACTTCCTCGCGACTTTCCCGTTTCTAAATCCAGCTAATCTGAATAGGTGTATATCTATATACGCTTTCGACGAGACGACGGGGACGACGCTGTGAGAGTATGAGCATGTTACCTGCATACACGAGCGGCTCGTCGCTTTTCCTTTCCTACATGGAGAAATATATACTCCGATACAGGTACATATTATAGTATAAATTTCGTGTCGCAACGTATATATACGAAGGACCCATGTGTATCAGGATACATAGGTATACAATGAGTCTCTATACTTACACGATTGCTCGATGTGAATCGGTTGAGCGTCTATAATGATTACGGATAAAGAAAGAGGATCAAAAGAGCCGCTAGGAAAGACGATTTCTTTTTTTTTTTTTTTTTTTTTTTTTTTCCATGGATAACGATCAGTAATACCTGCACACACGTATGGATCGGCGAAAATAAATTATACGCATGACGACATATATATATATATATATATATTTATGATTCAAAGATTGAAATCGCACTTAAATCACAGTTAAATCGTCTTAAATTACTGAATCACGTGAACAACCCCTGGATTTGCGAAGAGGAGGACTCATGCATAAATTACACACGTTACTTTGTAACGTGTTTTTATGTTTTAAAGTAGAAAATCCGTTAGTAGGCTGCTGTGTATGTGGTTGTGACTTTTGCTTTTTCCGGTGGGTTTTATTTCGTTTAGATTGGATTACTTTTTTTTTCGCGCATTTCTACGATACGAAAGAAACGGAGAAAATTATATTTATTTTGATTTGATCGCACGATAGCTAACGCCTTGACTTTGGTGTATATATATATGTATATATACGTATATACGATGACGATGTACCCCAAAGTGCGGAAGTGATTGTTTCTCTTCATACTCACGCGTGTATTTTTTTTTTCTTTCATTTTAGACTGCCCGTACGATTTGTCACTCTCAATGATTGAACTTGGTCGAGTTAGCGNTTATTATTATTATTATTATGATCATTAAAAATACATATTTCCTATTGATCTTTAGGATGAAATATCAATCGCGATGTAATATACAGTGAAACAAGCAAACGCAAGTCTATATAACGACTATGGCATCCCAAGTGAAGTGTCGTTGGAATTTTCGATACTTATCGTACCCGTAAGAATTTCAATCACGCCGTACTTGAAAAAGAAAAAGCCACGCGACTGCAATTTATTATACCGGAAGCCCCGTGTACGGACGAGGAGTCAATTCCCTATGGCCATGCAATTAAGCATATACCCTAACTGTACGTTCAAGTATATAATATATAGTGTGGCCATGGTGTACGTGCACCTCGACGTGGTATACGTACATTCAATTTTTGTTCTTCTGTAACAATAATAAAAACAAAAAAATACAGTGCTCGAGAGGGACAGGGAGTGCGCGAGCACTGTACACGTGTATCGTTTTCCAATAAAAAACACACACAAAGCCTGAAATCCAATTGACGCGCGGAATCAAAGTGTAAGCGCCACGAGTGATCCAATCGCCGGGTTATTTCGAGATTATCTATGTTTAAGTAAACAAAGAAAGGGAGAGAGAGAAAAATAAGTTCACTGACCTCGCGAAAGGAAATACGTCCGTCCTGGTCCTCGTCGACCTCTTGGATCATCGCCTTGAGGCCCAGGTGTGTTTGGGGCGCTCCCAAGACCTCCATCATGCGCTTCAGCTCGTTCAGATCCAGAAAACCGTCTTTTCCATCGTCGAACCTGTTTAATTATCAATCGGAACATTACTATGGGTTTCTACATTATTTTTATTTATTTATTTATTTTTTTTTATTTTATTCCAAAGACAGAAGCGTTAAAGAAGAAAAGCAATTTATTTGAAAATAAAAGTATGCGTCAATTAATTTCTTTTCTTTTTTCCTTTTTTTTGGGAAGAAATGCGCGGTAAACCGTTTTAGATGTTTTTTTGTTTCTATGAAAAAATAATGCAATTGAAGTGATAAACTGTGATTATAATTCGATTTGGAGTATTTTAATATAATTTAAACGAGATTTTTTTTTTGAGGAATTTTAACTATTTAAATAACAAAGATACGTATCTTTATTGCCTTAATCAAAACAATCACATCGTCATTAGCTAATGACTCATTTTGGTATACATAAACGCGCACTATCTTATCAAAAATGCGCCTAATAAAGTTTTTTCTAACAGTAATGCTGACCAGTTAAAAAAAAAGTTTTTTTTACAATACAATATCTCCCTGCCAAGCACGTTCAGTTTCTTACGTATACAAATTTTTTAATCAGCCTCAAAAAATCTTACCTATATAAATGAATGCCGTTAAGCTTATATTTGTGGCCTATACAAAAATGTGGACGTCCTTGGCGGGGGAATGTATATATGTAACAGAAAAAAAAAGTATATATGTAAGTGATGGGATATCAAAAATTTCAACAATACAACATAGTTCATCCAAACTCGAGAAAATTAATATTTACGTTTATTTGTACCAAAACTCAACTCAATGCAAACTGCCGCTGTTATCGCATTTTCAGCCGAGACAACGAGCGTCGTCGTCTTGGTTTTTCAGAAAAAAGCGCTGCGACGCAAAACAAATCTTTTCTGTTTCAGCCACGTCAACGAAATCTAAATCGCAGTGTCTATTTTGTTCTTCAAACAAGCCCAGATATACGACCTTTTGACAAATACCATTCGGATGTATACATATATACATCATGGGAACGAGATGAAATTTTATCATATACTTTCAGATATTAAAATTAAATCACACACGATGTCGTGATATCAAGTGGTGACACGAAAGAATCGATAACTAACGCGTCGGCCAAGTTATTTACCTAAAAAATCCGTCAAAAAGAGATTACACTGAAAAATAAACACATGTATCTACATTGTGCTACTTATCTCGTCTATTAACTTAATGGCTATACTTACAAACCAACGACGAATAAGAAAATCAGCTTCGATTTAAAATTCAAAAGCTATCTGTGAAAATACGTACGTATTATTGATAACACTTAATGTTTAAAAAACGGCTCAATAAAAAAAAAATAAAGAGTACAGTGGCGGTGGACCGATGGAGGTGGGAAAGAAACAAAATTTTTAATTTTCATTTTTGCTTCGAGCCATTGTAAATATTACATTATACACCGCTCATTCCCAGTATATCGTTTTTACGGCGCTGACACCACCATAATTTATATGGAATTTTTTTTTCCAAATGTGATCGCTTTGCGAGGGTCCGCACATGCACACAATCGCCGTCGTCGCCGAGGAGGTCCAGCTATAATTCGAGTCCACGCGGAAGTTTTAAAAATAAAAGAGAAGACGCGTGGGTGCACAAACGAGGATAAAGATTTCTTACGGAAAGCAGTGCCCTCGACTCTTTTTTTTTTTTCAGCTGTTAAAAATAATGTTAAGGATTACCCGCGTGTCTCCCAGTCATCGGGGAACTTTAATTTTCTTTGCTTTCACTAAAAATATTGCAAATATGGTCGAAGGATGAATTATTACTACTCGATTTATAGATTAAAAATCACTTGCTCGAAAAAGATATAGAAAGTCGAGAGATATCAAAACAAAAATGCATAGAAAACTCGCTTGATATATTAATCCTGCATGAAATACATACATAAATAATTGTTTTCTTTCCAGAAAGTTACCTTTTTTTTATCGTCGTTTTAAAAACTTGACAAAGGAGGTACGCTCTCGTATGCCTCGAATACAAAAACAGTGACCGTCTCGCCAACTCCTCCAATCCCCATTGTTATCTGTGTGCACTCCCAATCACTTTCCTTTCTAATTTTTGTTTTCAGCATCAAAATAATACCCGTGTAATTTTTCAACTATAAATAAAATCTACAATTTTTGTAATTACGGTGTATTAAAAGAGTCGAAGCGGCTAAGACGTATAGCGCGTCAACTTTCACGAGTTTCTGTCGTTATGTATACGTATATACAGACTATATTTTAACGTGAACGTCTATACCGATGGCAAGGTGCATTGCTCTTCCCAGAAAATCGATTTCTGGCGGAATATGACGGCGCACTTACTAAAAATATAGGCGTACAGATACCTTAACGATCTTCTCTTGGTCGACGAAATTTTCCCGTCGAATGAAAAGAAAAGAAAAAAAAAGGGGCTGCTGGCATAATTTGTTCTTGTTGTGGATCGGTAACACAAACGAGTTCCACTGCTGTACAGGAACCATTCGGTCCCATCTATTTGCGTCACATACACACGTAAAATTTTAATTGGTCATTCGGTGAAACTCCGCTTTTGCAGCTTCCATGCACGATATATATATATATATATACGGATCCACACCGATTTAGAAATAAACCCGAACCACATCTCGCAAAATCTCGGGTGCGCATTTTACATGTATGTAATATAGTTGCGAGGATGCATGGTGATACCCGAGGTGATACCTATAACTTATACTTTTTATACACGCGTGTATTATATTGCATATATTAATAGTACACAGAGCCAACTAGCGTTTATTCCTAGACATAGTACGTGCCGCAGGTGCTTTTGGAGTTTCGTTTGAAATATAATGTAGGTGTGTACATACATATTATATACCGTAGAAAAGCGCGCAAAGCGAGTTTCATCTTACCTCTCGTGTGTGCTACTCGGAAAGAAGACGATCCGGCATGGATAACAGTATATACGTGCGCAGCAGTGGATATTATGGTGTGTGTGTGTGTGCTGCTGATGCCGAGTCTAAAAGAGTCCGGTCGCCGGGGATGAGGCTGGAGAGTATAGGAGCTCGTAAACAAGACAATTTTAGAGTCGGTGCAGCGTCGGGCATCGGTTGGGGATTTTCGGAGCAACGAGCCAAGGGGTCGCGGATTGTCATTATTAGACACACGTCGTATTATATGCACAGAGAAAGGGGTGAGGCTTTTATTTATAAACAATTTGCGCGGCGCAGGAGGAAGGGGACGTGGGACAGGAAGGCCGAGGGTATTCGATTCGATCGAGCATGTTGTTGTTTGTTTTTTTTTTCCTTCTTCCAGTCGAACGGACCGGACACGCTATTGCATACAGAGCGGTAAAGTGCACGATGTATAACTCTTACAACGATGAAAAGGTAAAATTTATCTCTCACCGGTTAATTTTTACGACGGCATGGGATGCTGTACGGTGACTCGATGGGGGGGAGGAATTAAAATTTCGCGTCAATAACCACTGGGATATATTATATAAGTATAGTATGGATGAAGCACCGGCCTGTAATAATATCGCGGTAATAACACAGTAAATATAGCTAGGGTAGCTAGGGGGTAGAAGAAAAAAGAAAAAAAAAATCACAGTGGCTTTATTGTTATTATTCACATTCCAAAACAATGTATGGACTAGAAGAAGCGTATCTATACCAGCTGTAGGGCAATACTTGCTCTCCACACTCTCTCACCCTCCGTGGTGCTGTCGTCAGACCCCCTCCCTTTGATCCACCCCATTTTTCGCCCTTCTGGCCTATATATTTTTTTAAAGGGGCTAACATACACCCTGGATTGCCTGGCAGCCCTCCTAACAATTTTTTTTCTTCTGTATTTCTGTTTATTTCTATGTACTCTTATACTCGGCTCTATGTACAATATAAAATCGCAAGTGAAATCTACCTGCAAAATGCGGGAAAGGGTATTTATTTAACGGTAATAGTTTTGCGAGAAATGTTGCATCTCTCCATACTTGTTTGGTTCTTGTTTAAGAATTGTTTTCATGTAAAACGTCTATACAAGCCGAGCAAAACGATACTTGGTACGTAAGTGTGGCGTAATACTGGCACCTTTTATATTGCGTTCGAGAGCGCGAGAGGGAGTTTGATCCTTTCCCTTTTTCTGCACCATATATGGAGTAAATCTTGACGCAACGCTCGACTGGATTATACTCACTGTGCAGGTGTAATGGCAATTGTGACTCCAATATGCGTGCATCGATGTGACGCTTCAATCATCATCGTCTCAACCGTCGTCATCTTTACAAAAAACAAAATCAGGTTTTTTTTTTTTTAATAGTTGTCGCGATCGCGACTCTGTGTACCTTACAATAGATGATAAGGGGCCGCATATAATGGTAATGTATGTGTATGTGTGCACGATGAACCACCTTATTATATATTTTTTTTCTGTATCATCGTCAGGTGTGATTTGTACCTTATATTGAGGAGATGTCTTTGGGCTCATAAACAGCGTATATACATAAACGGTGCATTGATGCATCGACAGCTGCACGTTTGATTTGCTGCTCTCGAGTTTACAGTGATGGTTTTAGATGGTTTTTATTTGGAATGCTTTGAGATTTATTTTTTTTTTCCAAACTCTTAAAAACTATAGTTTAAGGCATATTTTACAAACCGTTGTTGTTGAATAAATTATTATTCCACTCAGACACGTCAGTCCAATCTCAAAGCAATAATTTATACACGTACTCGAGTGTATACAAATCTCACGAACGCAATGAAATTATCGTCGTTGGCATGACGAGAGCCAAGAGTAAAAAAGTTGGCCTACCCGTGCATTAATTATTATTATTATTTTTTTTTTTTAATTTATTTACAATGATACAATCTCGTATACGCGCAACTGCGGAGTATCCACATGTTACAGGGTAAACACACATGATCCTGCAAAACCTTTGTTCATTCACAACACGTAGTTGTTACTATATAGGCGCGTGCGTGAATCAGATTTGTTCGTTACCTGAGCAGAATTAATATAATCACACAAATGGTTAAATGGCACACGATCTAATGCTGCTACAGTTATTATGCCTTCGAGATTTCGAGTTAAGCTTAGAAATATGAATTTCCATGAATGACAGTCTCCGCGTATACTATTTAAGTACACGCGGTCAAGATTGTCCGTCTGCGTCAAATTATCGAGATCACGACACGATTTAGCAGCAGTACATATATATGTGTGTGTGTGTGTGTGTGTGTGTGTGTGTGTGTGTGTGTGTATATGTATATATATATCCGCGTGCACGCGTCACGATATATCACAGATTATGCATCGTAAAAAAAGGAGGCACGCGTGATTTTTTAATATTGTTTATTTTTTATCTTGAAGTTCTTGGTACATATACTTACCTTTCGTTAATGGTACAAATACATGTGTATAATATGACGCGGGAACGTAGGGGTAACATCGTAAACGCGAACAAATTTTACCCGCACGCGCAGGCTATGCTTGAACAAATGTGTATTAAAACGGCTCAAGAAATGTCTATACTTATTCGACACCCGTAAAATCGTACGAGTTTCGGCTACGTGTGCTGCTGTTACTTGCGTTGTGTTAAATTTTACGCGACCATTATAGCTCGAAATGACGTTGGGTATATTATGTATAGCCCAGAGCACTCAAGATGGATGATTGCCGTGTATGATGAAACCATGTCGTACATTGGAAGAAAAAAGAGTAGTGTACGGCCTCAAAATTTAATTTGAAAACCAGAAATTGTAATTGTCGTTTGCGAAACTTGTGTGTTATTATGAATATGATACATAAGTACATCAGAGAATATTTTGTCTCTTGATGCAAAAAGTACAGACATGACGCGCGCATGTTTATGTCACTAGGAACAGAATTTTCGGAAAAACCAATAACTCATCCGTGCGTCCCTAGATTTTATTTACTTAAAATACAACGGGAATCCTCCACTGCGCACTTACTTAAAAATTCAGAAGTGAAAGTGCACCACGCATTTTCGTGAGGCACATAATATTTATTAAAAATCTCGGCTATATATTAACGGCTTCGATTCTTACCGTATGACAGCCAACGTGCACTTAAAATCTAACTTTGGCTTCATTGTTTCGTGATACAAAACGTTACAGCAATTTATTTATCGCTCCTCCTGAAAAACGTTTAATTTCTTTCGCAACGATTGTGCTATACACACGAGCGCATTAGCGCGCAAAATAATCAAGTTTGAGCGCGGTAATCTTTTTTTATAACGATTTGAGGCTCGCATGTACAGCGAGGCCTTTTATCGATCATAAGCATCGCCAATCGGTTATATTGTATGATGCGCTAATGCGATTGGCTCGAAAGATTGCCAAGTTAGAAATCGATGGACAAAAATTTTACTAATTGGTCTAACTCGATTAGCATTTTAAGTAAAGCAAAGTATTTTTATACTTGTTCGATAGATACTGTTGGTATTGCGACAGAGGCGTGGTATCTACCTGCTATCATCATTAAGTCATTAAAATTTTTCTAATACAATTTTATCAGTCTATAATCAAACGGAGGTGAATTTTTTTTGTTTTTAATGCAACAATACAGAAATAACTTAGGAATGATGATAATAGCTATGGTTGATAAACCATTCATGCAATAAACGGCAAAATAGCAGACTATAGGCAAGAGAAATTATATCGACAAGTTCACCAAAAACCACAAAAAAGACAAGCGACTGTGAACAAAACGAGTTTTTTTGCAGTTGATAAAGCTTTTAAACATACCATGATAATTTGTATTTTCAAACATATAATACGTGTGATACATCGTGTAGGCAAAAGTGTATACAATAATTAATCGTAATCAACAATAGTACGCGTACATATGTACAATTTATATGCTCACATGTGTCCAGCGTAGTTTTGTTTATTTAGTTACTGAGTTTGGGTATCATTGCTTGAAAATAACAAGCAATGTTTTCCAAGTATTCGAGCGACGACTCGCCGGTGGTACATTTAAAAGTACCTAATTTTATATATAATTGAATTTCCAGAAACGATTCAAATATACCCGCATCCTTCGGGAAAGAAATATCGTGACTTCAGAGACACGCACTAGGGAAGAAAAAAAGAGGAAATAAGGAAACGGAAAGAAGATAATACCCTTATACTTACACATCTAAAGCCAGCAGAAAGAGAAAACAACCGAGCGGATGAGAGAACGAAGAAGAACCGGAGAATGACAATAAAAGAAAAAAAAAAGCGATTGAAGAGTGAAAGACCAGGGAACTACTACTGGGCAAGGAATAATAGATAAAGAATGAAGCTAAAAGTGCATATAGGTAAAATATACATCAATAGGGAGTTACCTGTTGAAGGTCTGCTCGTATTGTTTGATCTGGCGCCTGGTCAGCTCGTGAAATTCCGTGTAGACGTTGACGAATCTGTACTGTTTAGCCACTTCGCGGCCCTCCTCGAGATCTTCGTTGATCTTTTGCCGTCTGTTTAGCAAAGTACTCAATTCAGCGTCAGCCGGCATTTTTTTTTTTGTTTTTTTTTTTTTCCACACGTATATTTAAAGGTCTTAGGATGTAATATATAGACCAGAACCAGAAGACGAGTAAATTGCGACACTCGTGTGTACGTGTATTATCTGAACTTCTACAACGACAAGCCTCAAGGTCAAGGCGAGAGAACAGGCGAGGGTCCTTGTAGCTCGCACGCGTACGTATAATACAGCAAAGTAATATATACAAAAGCGTAGTGTATAGGTATGTGGCACACGAGGGTAAGAGAGGGTTGATGCGACCTTCACCCGTACACTTTTATAATGTAAAGTTGATTCTTTTTTATCTTGTATACCAACTGATGCCTCTTGTGAGCTCCTCTGAATTTACCTTTCAAAGTTCGATCGTTAACTGCGTGTGATACTTGTATGCGTATACTACGAGTACGCGAGCGCGAAACTCTGAAATCCTGTGTGTTATTGTTATCCTGAGATCAGTAAGTATCGATCAGCTGATGAGATGTGCTCAGATGCGTTTTTCACGTGTACGGGGGTCGAATAATCAATCTGTGGAGAAACCTCGTGGGTACTCAACTGTAAGTACTTATAATTTATTGAGGGATGCCAAAAGTGTGTAGATTTAATAAGAGGTGATGAGCAATACGTTCAAAAGATGCTTACAGCGCGGCTGACGCGCGTTGACTGCGGCCTAGCTGCGCTGGTCTGAATCTGAAGTATATATAGTGGCGGGAAGAAAGAACGAGACGACGAGACCTCTCTTATCTGCCTCGCAGCTCTGCTTATACCTATATATAAATCTGTTGTTGCAATACATTAATAGGGCTCGTCTTCGTTTTTATAGCAATACTATTAAATTGTCCAACCAATAAGTATATTACGTCGACCATTATTAAAAAGAAGTCGCTTGAGTGAGTTTTTAATTTTCGCGCCTTTCCCTGGTGGCGACTCTACGAACTACTATCTCTTTCCTCCCCCCCTCCACGATTGCGCTGCCCGGCAAATCTTACAATTGATTGGTTGAATTCGAAAAAGAAGTCGACCAATGAAGAGCTCGGAGAGGCTGAGTCTCAGTGGCATTGGCAAATTAGCATTCACAAGGATTGTGTGTCCTGTCAACGGATCTGCGAGTTCTGCGACTCTGTTTTCGTCGTTAAAGCGCGTCATCCTCGTCCATGTCTCGCGCGCGGTTAATATTTTTTTTCTAATCGACGACGATTCCTTTTTTTTTTAGCATAAATTAGTCGGAAGTGATAACTCGATTATTATTATAGGTACGGTTTTAACAATACTTTTGTAAAGAAACCAACGTAAACAAGCTAGCGAGGATGTCGACAACATCCTTGTCGTTGCTGGCAAGCTATGACGAGCTCGTCCGGTGCACCAATGTCCTCATCAACGGATCCTGTGAAGGAGGTTAGTGTATATACACACTTCCCGGCTTAATTCATTATGCTCAAGTTTTTCGTTAACTTTTTCTGATTGCCCTGATTGTTGGTACTTGGGATCAATTTTTGTAGTTTTTGAATAGACTTCGATTAATCAAACGACCTGGAAATAAAATTTTTTGGTTTGAGTTAAACAAAAAAATAAAAAAAGTTAAAGCATCTTTCAGCAGCACTACAACTTACTTGTCTTTGCTTGTGATTTTGATTAGCTTGAGTTATGTATTTGTATAAATAACATGTTAATACTTTACGTTAAGGATTGTTACTTATCTATTTGTATAAATTCTATTCAGCGTAATACTATTGTATACATAAAACTAATAATAATACTAATTTTTTCATCCGTCTATTGAATTAGTTATTGCGAATATTACAAAATAAATAATTTTTTAATAATTATTTATATCTGTAGAGTTTCTCCAGTTTGCTATTAATCAAGAGGAAATAAGACAAAAGTGGTTAGCTTCTGTGCAAGAATGTCAACGTCTTCACTCTGCCTTAGAAAAGGCTCATCATGAAGCAGCCAATTTGGATAGAAAATTGAACCATGCCAGACGTTTATTGGACGAAGAAAAGAAAAAAAGGAGGCATGCCGAGGACCAGCGTCACGTATTAGTATGGCATAATTTCCTTGTGCATAACGCATGGAAAAATATTTTGTAAGATTTTATTNGTGCAATCAATTTTATGCAGCGTTAAAATTTTTTTTATGAAAAAAAAAAAAAAAGGAACGAAGGACAAAAGTATTATAATTTGCGACTAAATGTAAAGTTTATATCAAATAATTTATTTCACGTTGTTTGAACTAAGTTTTATATTACAAAACAATCGCATCGACAGTATATTACTTTTGCTTAAATTTTCAGACCTTCATTTCTTTGACGCTCGAGATGTGCCCGATATCTGTGAAATGTACGATAGTGTATATTCTATTTTTGCTTTTTTGAAAATCGGAACGCCTTTCAAAAGTTTTTAATATCACACGATTTTATGTACCGTAAGAATTATTAATTTTAAGATTTTATTTTATTTTATTATTTTTTTTTTTCCACAGGAAAGACAAATCACTTTGGTCAAAGACTTATTGTTAACTGATGGTGGTAGAAACTTGAATGATGAAACTAGAGAAAAACTTCAGTTTTTAAACAACACAACGCTCAATGGACGACACAGCTCTTCACACATGAGAGATCATCTTCATGACAAGTGCGTATTTTTTGGAAATACATGTAATCAAAGTATTTTTGTCAACTGAATTTGTAATATCTTTAACAGACTGAATACAATAACAGAAATGGACTCAACTGGTTCGATACTAAGTGATCTTAGTTGTTTTTCCAAGTCTGAGGATGATTTAGACACCAGCATAATAATACAGCAAAACACCAAGAAACGCGAATGGAGAGAGCACCGCCCGAGTGGCGAGTACATAACTAACAAGAAGCGTCGTAGCGCTTTGCAAAAAACAGTAGATCTAAACAGTTCGGACAGAATAATTGCAACGACGACGGTCGTGGTGCCAAAAGATGGTGCCATTACGGCATCTTCGGTCATCGAAGCTGTTCCTGGTGATGAGAACCAGGATCCAAAGCCAAACTCATTGTCTAACGAGAACTCGCGTAGAAAACGTAAGAGTGTCAGTGTTGAGCGCAGAAGCAAGTCTAAGAGCCTTATCTTGGATCAAGAAATACATCCCACTGTGAGTTTATCATAAGTTTGATAATTATCTTATTTATTTAGTTTTTTAAAAAGACTTATAATTTTTGTATCTTTAGCCTTCTGCACCTAAAAAGGATATTATATCTTCAAATTCAGACACGGAAAACAATTTTAAGCCCAGTCCAAATATTGGTGGCTATGTGATGAATGCCAAAACTACTATGAGAGGTCATAGTTTTAGAGAAAAGCCTGTTATGATTCCCAATATACTCTGCACACCTTGTGGTAAAAGGTAACAATAGTATTGATAATTAATGTCTTATTGTATATGATTAGTTTTTTTCATTTAATATTAATTTTCGTCTTAGGATACGTTTCGGCAAAGCAGCTGTCAAATGCATAGATTGTCGGGCTGTTTGTCATTACAAATGCAAGGAACTTGTGCCTCTTCCGTGTGTTCCAACCGGAAATACACCCACGCTCCGTGGTGTTTCGGTATGTGATGTAGTGTATGGTACCAAATGAGCTTTAAACATTATCGATGATTTTTTTCCTCACCATTTAGTTTTCAACTAAAAAAAAGCGCACGCTAGAAGTTTCATAATAAAATATATTTTCAATAGGGAACTATTGCTGATTACACTCCGAGATCCTCACCTATGGTACCGTCCCTGGTTGTGCACTGCATTAACGAAATCGAACTTCGCGGTATGAATGAACAGGGCTTGTATCGTGTAAATGGTGGCGGTGCCGATGTCAAGGCTCTCAAGGAGAAATTCCTTAAAGGTCGAGGTGCCCCCAATCTTTCAGATGTTGACATTCCAACGATATGTTCAACCCTGAAGGACTTTCTCCGCACTCTCAAGGAACCTCTGATCACCATAGGGTTGCGGGACGATTTTGCTCGGGCTGCTAATATGGAAGACAAAGTAGATTCCGAGGCAGCGCTGTATCAGGCCATTTCGGAACTACCTCAACCTAACCGAGACACTCTTGCTTTCTTGATATTGCATTTGCAAAGGGTGTCAAGTACACCTGAATGCAAGATGCCCATTACCAATCTTGCTAAGATTTTTGGACCTACTTTGGTTGGATATAGCAGTGTGAACCCCTCACGCATGTCAATACTCAACGATACCGTGGAGCAAGTTGCGGTCAGTATTTTTTATTGTAACATTTTTGCGATAAAAGGAAGAAAAAAAAACAACTACACTTTAGACTTGATGAGTAATGTGAACTACAAAAAATATTTAAACTAATTGGGAATTTAATTGTAGGTCGTTCAATGTTTGCTAAATTTACCATCAGATTATTGGGCGAATTTCGTTAATCAAGACCACTTGAATGATGTGCCATTGAGTACGCCTAAAACCTCATCTTTAAGACATACTCCTTCAACTGACTCTCTTACTACTTTAAAACGCACAGACTCAAGAGGATTCTTTCAAACACCTATGAGTACATCGTAAGTATAAAGTTTAATAAATTCCATCTCTTAACAACTACTGTTTTTAACCACAAACGTATTGTTAATTTTTTTTTCAACAGGAAATTATTCAGGAAGAATAAAAGATACTTTGGAACTCCACCATCAAAGCAAGTACATTAAATAAAAATAAAAGAGACTGTAGTTCTACATCTATTTTACAGTCACACTGAATGGACTTTTAACTTTATAAGAGCTTTTTTAAACGAACAAACTTTTTATTTATAAGTATTTATAAAATTATTTTGAAATGGAGAAACTTACTATAAGCTTGAGATATCTTTTTAATTGATTGATTATGTTGTGTATTTTAGGTAAAAACGTTTATTTTATCACTTTTGAAATATATTAACTTAATAATTACATAGTACAAACGTTATTATTTTTCAATGTCTCTTGATTCATTCGATGTAACACGAATAGCGTTTTTTAAAAAAGTAAAAAAAAATAGATACTTTACTTTAGGAAATAGTTGAACAATATTAATTTTTTAATTTATTTCAATACAAGTTAAAGTTTCGACTGTTTTGCGTATTTTTAGCTTTACACTTTGCGATGTAGGTAGGATAAAAATATCTACAAATCACAAGGGCATCATCTTACTTACTATTTATCGTTGTGGTTGCGCGTAAATGACTGATTTTTGCATTAAAGGACTAGAAAAGTGCAATCGTCAAGAGATGGACAAATGAAAAATATCCAAACTTTGAATCACTTAGCGCTCGCATAAGACTTTTCTTTCAGTTCCCAGCATGACTCCCAGAATCTCTTCAATCGATTATCGCCGTTCGAACAGAAATGACGAAAGTCCTGTATGATTTTCTTCTGAAAAAATTCATCTCCAGTACCCGAAACCGGATACTTCCACTTGCGACTCAACATAAGATTCCATGACCACAAAAATCCCATCTGAAATGAAAGTGAATCAAAAGTTTATTTGAGTGTTTTAGATATTTTATATTGCAAATGATGCATGATTCCTTTACAATAGGAATCTCGCGAATTAAGTGCTTACATATTGGGTTACTCATATTATCAAGTTGCAGTAAAGTTAAAATTAATAAATTTTTCAGGCAATTTTTTTTTTTTTCCAATTAAGAAATTGCTATCTCTACAAAATTAAGAAGGAACTTGGCATATTTACTCTTCGATCCATGCTGTAGTCGTTTTTATTTTTGCCACTGACATGCCGCGTGATGTAAGCTTCGTGTGGACTGAGCTGTTGTTCAGTTTGTACTGGATATCGCTTCTGAGTAACATTTCGTCGCATCACGTTGCTGCAGGAATGTTCACGCGGTCGGGAGCTCAAAGTCGATGGCACCAATACGAATGCGCTGCCCGTCACGTGAACATATTGATGAATGTTCTCGTTGCTCTCTACTAAACAGCGCATAAAACCAAAACGCTGCAGAATCACCTCTTGGAAGAGAAACAGTCGCTGAGCGTACGTTTCTTCTTGAAATTCTGTTTTAAAGCGAGAAAACAAGGAATTTATTTGAATGAGTACTCCAAAGCAAATGTAGGTGTCGGATTTGAGTTCGTTAAAACGCGAATGAGTGAGATTTTTATATGGTGTAATCTTCGTAACAACTGAATTATAATTAATGAAGTTAATAAATTGACATTAGTTTTAATAAGTTGGCTTGTTGTTTTATTACAACATGATTTCCACTATAAAGAAACGAATAATGAAATGTTCTTACCTTGGAAAAGATATTTTTTTCCAGTCATAAGGCACTCTGTGTTCAAAGGAATGAAAATAGGCCCGCGCAACGTATCGCTTTTAGCGGTGAATGGTAGAGCAAGCAAGTCACTTGGAATCGGTATCATTTGGATGCCACACAGTTGTGCCTTTCTTTGCCAAGTAAATATCTACATGAAAGGGGGGAAAAAAAGAAAAATCTTTTTTGTATAGCATGAAACATTTTCCAGTCAACTTTTTACGATTACAGGTACTCACGAGATCAGCCACTATGTTGCCCGAAGCTGCCACCCATTGAACAACCAACTCATAAGCATTATCTGGTTTGTAAACCGACTGATATTTCAAATGCCCCCACTCGATTCGATCACTCTTGTTATTGATGTCTATATCTAAGTAGGTTTGTCTGTACATTTGTCCTGCAAAGTAATAAATTGACGATTTTTGTTGATTTTGTTGTTTGTGTAAATGGTAAAAACAACAAACCCATCCAATCTCGTTCGTCTGAGACTTCGACTGTGTCAAGGTTTTTCCTGAGAAAAACAGGAACATCAGATTCGTCTTTACTATCACAGCTAGGAATAGATATCGGTTGAGACGCGCTTGACAGAATGCTAGACGAGCTTGAGTTCGATTGAGGCTCGCACCAGCCCTTGGGCGCTCTCATCTCCACCTCGACCCACTCGTTTTCGAAACTCTGCGTGTCACCCAGTGGCGAGGAATAATCTGGAGCTATATTGTACATCGAAAAACATTAAAGGAAACCATACGCATAAGGCAATAACCATTTTATTGCTTCGAGGAATGAGTTGGATACTCACCTTTTTGGCCATCTTTATCTTGCACAATGTGGTACAGATAATATCCCAAGATAAACGGCTTGCTAAAGTCCCCGGACGCGTGGCAAATGAGTTTGTCCGCAATCATGATCTGAAGAAAATTTTTCAAATGTCAGATGTACTAATCGTAAAAAAAAAATATATATATATATACATATATAAGTACACCTATGACAATTATTTTATAAATAGCGAATCGTCACCTTCATCAAGCCAACAGCTTTGTCAACGGAAATGCCACCTTCCATGTGATTATTCAGCCACTGGACGGCATCGGCGCTGACGAAAGTTTGACTCGGGAGGGACGGGTGCTGCGTGAGGAAGCCCACTCCGGTCTGCGGGTGCTTCATCGCCTCCAGAATCTCGACGAGCGAGGCGCTGCTCTTTATTTTCACCACCTCCGTCGCTATGCTGGTAAAAATTCGAAACATTTTAAATGCGTTACTGAAACGTAATTTTTTTTTTTTTTTCCCTCAAATTACTTTTCATCGCTGATCTCCAAGTGTTCGAATTGTAGCTGCTGCTGCTGCTGTTCCGCGGTTAGAGGAAGTGTGACTTCGCTGGCGGGCGACACTCGGCCACGATCCATCACCTTAGAGCCAGATCTGTACGTAACACATTCAAGTATGCGTGTAAGTGAAAAAAAAAAAAAAAAATGTCCTCGTACATAAAAAATCACCGGACACGCTTTTCACGCAAACGCGTATTATAATTTTACACTACGAGGCGGTGTGCATTAATTAGGGGGTGCAAAAATCGAAGCGAAAGCTTTTTGGGACACGTGTGCGTGCGGTTCGAAATGAAAATACACGTATAGGGATTTTAATTGCAGGTTGACTAATGTGTCCATCAAATAATGTACTGGAAATACTACAGCTTTTGAAAACATTTATTGCGTATTATTGTTGTTGTTGGAGTTACTGTAAGTATCTTCGACTCGTCAGAAAAAGGAGACAAACTCGGTTTTTGCTGTACATAAAAAAAAGGTACCACTCGGGTCGTTAATTGCACCTAAATGTGACGTTGTAAGTTTATAAAATTGTAGCATATTGTGCACAAAATAATTATTCACGTACATGGCTGTCGGTACGATTCCGGAAGTCATTTTTTGTTGTATAATAAATTGTTCAACATAAAATAAACTTGATCCAAGTTGTTTACTTGTATGCACGGGTAAATCATTTAAACTTTACGAAGTTTGGAGGATAACTCGATGGTTTATTCAAACGTATTATTTTTTTTTTGCTAAAAATCGGAGTTTACTTTTTTTTATTGTGTTAAATTACAAATGTCCCCTTCATTGATATAGCAGAACCAAATTCACTCCTTCTTCTTCCCAGGCGACGATATGCACGTGTTAGTCACTGGTATGGACATTTTTATGGGAGTCAGGGGCTTGGTAAATGTTGTACAACTGTCTAATTCAACTTTAAGATCGTAAAGTGTTGTTTCAAAATAATTAGATTGAAAAACCGTTTTAAAATGAATGTCCAAGCTGATAAAAAAAAAAAAAAAAAAAAAATTTAATCTATACAAAAAAGTAAGAAAAGCCAATCCAAAGTACAAGTAAATATGTAATATACCATTATCCAAGCATCTATATGTGTACGTAAACGAAAAATTGAAAATCGTGTACAATTTCTATCAAATATTGAGTTTTACGAAGATTTTCAAATGAAAAAGAAAGAAGAAAAGAGAGAAAGACAAACCTGGCTGGTATGTGGCGAGGAGTGTCGAGGGCCGAGCGAACAGCCGAAGGTGAACTCACTACGTGCTTTTCCTGTACAGAGAACCTCGTCACTCTCTCACTCACACACGGGAACTATTTTTTTTTTTTTTTTTTTTTCAAATAAAAGCGTATACACGTGTAAAACATTAAATTCACTCGTCAAACAAACAAACAAAAAACAAAAAAATTCAAGAAATAATATGTAGGTAATAGGTATAAGGTATATGTACACTAAGGTGAATAAAAGAGCATTGCCAATTAGTAAGTAATATATACATAACGGTGTAGGCGTGCGTATAAAAGTGACGCATCTTAGTACAGCGCTGTGCTTAATTTTTCTAATGTGCATATTACATGTGTAAAAAAAACAAACAGTATCGTTTTCAAGAAAATGCTTGGTTGGTCCCTTCTGAGCAGTTTTTTGTAATTACATTTGTAACTCCACCTGTAAACACACTTGTAAATACATTTGGAATTTCACTCGGAATTACTTATGGGGTTTTGGTTTGGAGAAGCCATCGGTAATTCCAAGTGGAATTCCAAGTGGTACTAGAAGTAACAATTAAATTTGAACCCCTTTGTTTTAGTGTTACAAATGTAATTACAAAGAACTGGTCAGAAGGGGTGTGATTTATCTCTTGAAAACATGCTCTCGTGGTTAATAACTACGCGGACCAAGTCATATCAATATAGCATGATGCAGAGGAATGATATAGATAGCCGCCACGCGCCACTACAACCGAAATCTGCAAACAAACATATGAGTAATATAAATATAGAAAAGCATGATTCACGACCAATTTATCCACACATGTCAATGTTTTGTTCTAAATACTATCGAGAAACTCCTCCTGTATACAAGTACAGCAAACTATACTTAAAGCATCCTCATTAAGCTGTCTGTAAATTGATGCAGTGCGCTAAAAATATGCAAATATACATGTGACATTGTAGGTTTGTGCGTTTTGTATACAGAGTGAAAGACGCTCGTGTTAGGACATATTTACATACGGAAGTATTTTTTTTTTTTTTTTTTTTTTTTTTTTACTACTAGCAATCACGTAAAAATTAATACAATCTACAAAATCTAAATTCTATATCTATTTAGTGAGTGAAGTGGAAAAAAAAAATACTTCGGTGCAACAGATAGTAGCAAATTAATTACAAAGAAGGACAAGTGCAGCCAAGCGAGCAGCATACCATATCTATTCTATGCGCAAAAAAAAATTATATCAATACAATATGTATAAAAAAATGTGTGTGTATGTGTGTGTGTGCTCAATTGCATCCGTTTTATAACAGACTGCGTCAAACCTTGGTCTAGACTTCTCAGGCAGCCGGTTACTCCCAACTCGCTCGCGGAAGGGCGAGCTACCCACTACGTTGTTCTGCAAATTTACGAGGAAAAACAGAAAAGTATTCACTGGTTTTGAGCATTGGCTTTTTTTTTTTTTTCAAAAAATTGTCGGGATAATATCTGTTATGTCTTTATATCAGCATATAAAGATAAGAAAGCGCTGTCTTTAGTTTTATTGGGGAAAAAAATTTCGCTATTTCGGAAAATCTACTTGGACAATGAAACATGGGTATTCCATGGCACAATTTCCCAAATAAATGTAAGACAGCGCTTTATTTTTGCAATAAACCCAAAGTATCGATGTATATAGGGTCATGGACAATGGTCACATAGCTGATGTATAGCTTTTAAAATTTTCAAGGTTTTTTTTTTTAATGGAGGTAAGCATTGATAATTATATTGTCAACAAGTACAAACGACAGTAAAAAATTAACAACAAAGTCACGATGTCACGATTACAAAAGCAAACTTTAGTAAAATTAGTCATATTCAAGATTGGCAGTAATTTAATTAAGTTAATAACGAATGGGACGAAAATCGTTACATGACTCAATTGAAAGCATTCAGTGTTGTTTCATTGAATTATGACTAAATTAAAATTTGCCAATCTTAAATTTTTGAGTAAAACGAATAATTATAGCCAAATTTCAACTCAAAACAACAAACATAAACAAATGTGTTGGAAACGTGTGAGTGTTGCATAAAATATTTGTTCAGCAAAAAAGATGCGATCAATAAAACATTAGTACGTATGTATACGTGTATTGATACAATATACAATCGTGCCGCCTTGATTCTGAATGAAATGTTCTCTATAAATAATAATAATAAAGAGGGTTGATGCGACCTTC